ATCAGAATGTAATTACACATAAAAGATGTCATCGTAGGCAGCTCTTCCTATTTTTTCTTTAAATACTTAGGCTGCAATGACGTGTTTTCTTACTTCCCCTTAACAGTTAGGTAGTTATTTGTTAGTCACAAGCATGCAAAGAACACTTAAGCATTTGCTATTTGAATATGCATCCTACTTTCTTGTCACTGTAGACAAGTGAAGTGTATTAGGCACTGATATTTTTATTCTAAATGCGTTTCTACAGTACTATTTCTGGTTTCTTGAATGGAAGACATACTCAAAGAGTCCTAAGAAAGACATTCTTCATCGGTTAACATTGGTCATTAAACTATTACCGACTAGTAAAAATCAACACCATCTGTCTTCGTACTTGACTTTCTTTTAAACATTCAGAGGGAGGAATTTTTACTTGTATGCATCTTATATATTCATTTCTCATAGATGTTTGCGATGACAAGATTTTCTCAAAGCGTTTGTTTGTACAGTGTACCATTTTCCAGTTAATACTTCTCCTTCACTAATGCTATCAGCAAATCTTAGGTATTGGAAATTTCCTAATAAGCGCTTCTATTCCGATTACACTTAAACGTTATTATTGCGTAATAATTTCAGGAATGGTTAGTTTATAGATAATAATCTTAAATCGATAGGATCAGGTTATAGCAATAAAGATCATCTACTTTATTCGCCTTCTAAGTTCATCAGCGATACAGTTTTGATATCCAGTGTATTGTCAGTGCATTGAAATACACGGTTAGTGGTTGTCTAACTTGAAATAATCCCACTGTGCTGATGATAAGCTTGGTAAAAAAACAACCATGGAAACGGTTGTGTGGTATTAAGATAACCCATACTTGAATGGTCACTGTCGATGTTCACTACCATGGGTTTTCAACTACCAATATCAACTGTTAGTTGACTTTCACTTGTCTGGCTTCAAGTAGAGTGTATTTTACAGTTCAAATATATTGCTTTCTAAATAAAATCTAGTCTCATAAATGGCTTGATTCTCATTGTTTTAGTCCCACTGTGCGCCATCAATTTCGAAAACTCCTGCCGTAAAAGCCACTTGTATAGGATGATTACCGCTAAACATTCAAATGAATTCAATTTCATTTCATGATGTATAATCTTAATGAGAAACCAGCTTAAGAAATGCTTAAAAAATATAGACAATATATAATAACTTCGGTTATCAGCAGTGATCATAATAAAGATGAAATAATTCGCTTCATCTCAACCTCGAGAAACTAAAGACGAAGCCTACTGGACGCAAGATCCAGAAGGGAAGCAAATATAGGTTCAGAACACTTTCTAGTGCAAGAAACCTTCCAAGTCAAGTTGAAAGCCTTCACTGAAGCTTGTGAGAAACTACAGATAAAGTTTAACACCCAAAACAGAAGCTGAAAGATGAAACTAAAAAGAACATCTTCACTTCAGCCATCAGAACAAAATAAGAGACACTGAGCAACATCCATGAAGGGTCAGACGTGGAAGAACTCTGGAACTCTCTGAAAAAGATGTGGAAAGAAACCTGCATAACCGTACTAGGAAGGCAGTAGAAATAAGACAGGGAATGGATCTCGACGGATACAGGGAGGCTGATAGAGGAGAGGAAGATGGTGAAGCAGACGATGAACCAGTGCATTGCAGGGGTGAACAGTGAAACGACGAACTGAACACATGCTATAAAACACCACACTGGACGAAAAAGTGAAGAAGAGTGCACTCAAAGACAAAAGACACTTCTACGACACACTGGCAAGTAAAGCAGAACAGGCGGCAGGTAGGAGAGACCTGACAACACAATATCAAATAACCAGGTTATGATCAGGGAAGAGACCAACGCAGATGAAACTAATGAAAGATAGTGAGGGAAACTTAGTTGCCAAAGAGCAGAAACAAAGGAAACAATGGGCTGACCATTTCAAAAAACTCTTGAAACGACTACCACCTTTTACTCGTCCAGAAATACCATGAACAACGGCAGAATTACCAGTGAACACAGGCCCACCGACAAACGCAGAAGTCCTGAATGCCATAGAATTGCTGAAATCCCGTAAGCAGCGAGACCAGATGGAATTCCACCAGAAACACAGAAAAGACAAGCATAGACTGAAAAATGCTCTTCATTCAATATTACGACCGAAATAGGCTGTCTGGCTTCAGGAACAACAAATCATGAAAGGATCAAATTGCGATGCTGCGCTACGCATCATCATTGAACACAGCATAGAATGGCAGTCAACTCAACTCCACCTCAACTTCATCCACTTTGAAAAGGCCTTCGACAGCGTCGACCAAAAAGTAATTTAGCAGTTGATTCAACACTTCAGTTTTAGTGCCACAACTCTTGATCAACCTCATTCAACAACTATATGAAGACGCCACATGCGAAGTGATCCACAATGGAAAGCGCAGTGACGTCTTTGAAAAGAAAATACGAGTAAGACAAGGCTGCCTACTATCACCGATGATCCTCCTGGTTGTAGGCAGTTGGGGTGCCATGTTGGAAGGACTGCAAAGAAGAGAGTGGAATGGAGGTGTGCTACTGAAGCCATATGTTCCACTAGGAATCCAAGGGAAAAATAATAATAATAACCTTATGGTTATATTTTGAACAATCCATCCTTGTCATAATTTGTCCTAACTTGCCAAAAACTCACTTTTTACTGTTAGTCAGATGTGTCTTAATTGATGACTCCAATCGTGTTGTAGTTTTCTTCGTATGACAAAGCACAAAAAGTTTGTTAACGTGGATAAAAATGTGTTTAGACTTGAAAAGAACATGGATCTTTGATTCAAACACTGGCAAGCTGCTTCATATTTTCTTATATTTGTAACTTCTTGAATTGATTCGTCACCTTAAGTAATACTTTTAACAGAGAGCAAACCTATAAACTGACACAGTACTATCTTGTCAATTTTTTTCCCTTGGGTTCCTAGTGGAACATATGGCTTTAGTAGCACACCTCCATTGCACTCTCTTCTCTGAAGCCTCTCCAACATGGCACTACGACTGCCTACAAGCTTTCACTTCTTTTTCACATATCACCCTCAGCTGGTACCCCAATTCGTCATTTCCCATTTGGATTCTACTCGACGGCCTGTTGAGTGATTTACCCAGTCTGCCTTCTCAGTGTATGCCCAATCCATCTCCACTTTCTCCCAGTACATATTTGTTGAGTTGTAGTTTTCTGGTTGGTTCGTTCCCAGAATTCCTTGTTGCTTATTCTTATTATTCTGGCCATCTGATCTTCAGTAACGAGTAAGCGTAGGCGGCATCTGTTGATGAATGTCTATAGTTTGTTGAAAATGCTTTTCGTGACACACCAACTTTCTGAACATATAGCAGCACTGACTTGACTGAATTGGTGTTGAAAATCCGGATCTTGTCCTTTGTGCCGAGTGAAATGCAGCAGATCTCCACACTGGTTTCAGATTTATGAAGGAAGGCCTGACTTGCTGTCTTTCTGATTTTGGTTTTCACGTTCTCATCTGTACCATTTGTGGTTGAAACGATGCTGCTGCCTAGGTAGATAGGTGGAAGAGACAAATTTCTTTACATTTCTCCCGTTCATGGTGATTGGTACTTGTTGTTGATGCTGTTGTTGGCTGGATATCTTCATCACCTCTGTCTTCTCTACGTTCACCTGAAGGAAGTCGCATGTTCGCTGTCTTGCCTTTTTTGTCAACTTGTTGGTTTTCGCCTGTAGATCTTCAAGTTTATGCTACACGACATTAGATATAAATCATAATCGTTGGCAAAATCCAAATCTGATCTAAGTGTTCCATTTGCAGTAGAACTAACTCTTCAATCAGTTAAAATTGTTATCTGAGGTAAATTTATGTTATAATTCATTAACTTGAGCTGAATTTTGATTTATTTATTCATAATTCTCTATCAATTTTAATCAAAACTGAGATGGGTAGAAAACTGAAAAAAAATTTCTGTAAAACAAATAAGGTGTTTCCTATAGATCAGAAATAATTTTAATCAAGTAACTAATTACATTAGGGCATTGATAATTTAATTATATCTTTATACATTCGGTGAAATTAGTTCCTTATATAACTTCCAAATAATACGTTTTGCAGGCTACAGAATAAATTAATAAATAATCACCTTGAATAAATCTCGACAGCCAGCTAGTATTCACTGTTTGACTATTTAGTTCTTCAATAGGCAACATGATTCGTAAGCTTCTTATAATCACAAAGAAACATTTTATTCGAAAAGAAAATATTCCTAACAGTTGTTTAGCTTGATACCATTTTCAGTGATCTAATTAAGGGTCCAATCATGGATATGACTAATATTTTGATTCAGAAAGTTCCCTACAGATACTTTGTCAATGATGTCGATATCGTTTATGATATGCAGTCAGCTAAGTGTGATTTTTATGTAAAGTCACTTTCTTTTGTGAAAAATCAAATGAACTTTGACATTCAGGGCAAAGATAATCGAAACATTGAAGAATTTTCTGAGTGGTGAAATGTCTACATTTAGGTGCTACTTTGGAACAAGTAAATAGTATATTCATTTTAGTACAGTGTTACCTTCAATTTATAGGTTCAAGTTGACTCAGCACATTCTAACTGTACTCTCTGAAGTTGAAAATTGTCTATTATTGACCATATATATTTCCATCTACGACTGGTTAAAACCAGACGCTTTGCTTTGGACAGAATTAAATTAAATTTGAAAAACTGCTTCTATGATGCAACTTCAAGATTAAGCGTTTCCAGACAATATTATAGTTTAGAAACTACCACCATTACCATCGTTCAAAATATAACACCTCAGTACATTAGCTTCATCGACTCTATAGTCAGTCTTGATGAAGCTCAGGAATATAGGTCATTTTGACTAAAAGTGAAGATTTTTTTTATTTCTGATAACAGATATTTATAATATTTTGTCGTCAATTTTATTACCGCTAATCCAAATAAGAAATTCCCTGAAAAGCTAAACTTTTGTTTGTATTTAATAATAGATGCACCAGCTAATGTTACGATTTCGGTTGAATCTGGAAATGTTCATGAAGATCATTCTAGTGGACGTCGAGAAATGGTGGTTTATGCTCGAGCTGGTGAATCAAAGACACTGACATGTAAAACAGCTCCCTATTATGGTCATGCAACAATTAAATGGTTATTTCAAGCAGCTGGTGCTAGTTTGACCACACCTCCTAAACAAATTATGGATAAGGCTGTAACTTTCAAAACACCTGATGGTGAAAGTACATACCAGGAATCACAAATTCAGATAACTATCCGTGCAGAGGATGACAGAAGTTACATTGACTGTCTAGCATGGAGTGTTGGAGACACACGTATTGATGCCAGAGTACGCCTAGACATTATCTGTAAGTTCTTTAAAGAAACTTTTATTCTTTACGATAATAAAACCATACTTATTTTGCGATTAATGATAAATCTTGAGGATTACGTAAAATTATTGGACGAAATGCTCCCAAGATAATGTAATATTTTAGGAAACATAAAGACGAAAAGTTTTACTAAACGTTAAAACCAGATATTTTTAGGCACCTATCTAATGATATGTCTAATGTTTGCAGAATTCTCCATTTCTATTTAGTGGTTAGTGCAATACTGTTGCACTGCCGCCGGTATTTCTTAATAAAAATGATTTCTTGTACAATAATTCATGCAAATTAAGTGAAACATTCTCGTTTTAAGCAGATTTATTATTATTATTATTATTAGTCCCTTGGGTTCCCAGTGGAACATAGGGCTTCAGTAGCACGTCTCCAGTGAACTCTGTTCTCTGAGATCTTTTGAACCTGGTTCCACGACAGCCCAGAAGCTCTCATTTTCTTCTCGCACGACCTCCTTCATGTCACCCTCGACACTGACGCCCAACTCGTCGCTTCCCATGGGGATTCCACTCGAGTAACTGGCCTGATGCGTGATGTCCTCAGTCGGCCTTCTCAGTGTATGCCCAACCCATCTCCACTTCCTCCTGCATATTTGTTGAGCGATAGGTTCTTGGTTGGTTCGTTCCCAGAGTTCCTTGTTGCTTATTTTTTCTGGCCATCTGATCTTCAGCAGCGAACGTAAGCAGTTGTTGATGAATGTCTGTAGTTTATTGGAAATGCCTTTCGTGACGCGCCAAGTCTCTGAACCATACAGAAGCACTGACTTGACGTTGGTGTTGAAAATCTGAATCTTGTTCCACATGCTGAGTGCAGGAGATCTCCACACTGGTTTCAGGTTAATGAACGCCTGTCTTGCTTTTCCGATTCTGACTTTGACGTCCTCGTCCGTCCCGCCTGTAGTTGAAACAGTGCTTTCTAGATAGGTGAAGGAGCTTATTTCCTTTAAGTTTCTCCCGTTCATGGTGACTGGAGTTTGTTGTTGGTGGTGGTGCGGTATCTTCATCACCTCTGTCTTCTGTATATTCACTTGAAGTCCCGTCTTCGCTGCCTCACCTCTTCTGTCAACTTGTTAGTTTTCGCCTGTAGATCTTGAAGTGTGTGTGACATCAGGCACAAGTCATCGTTGGCGAAATCCAAGTCGTCTAGGTTCTTTTCCGTAGTGCAGCGTATCCTCCATTTTAAGCAGATGATACAGTTAAATAAAAAATTGTCTTCATGTGTATAATATACAAGGCAATTATATTTTGGATAACTATTCAAAGGCATTTCCACATTCATTTTTCAAGTCACTGATGAATATCATCCAAATTCCAATCAGGCAAAATAGCATAAGTTAACTGAAAGAGAGACCAGCACAATTAATGACTCAAGATCTGTTGAGTTAATGCATGACTGCACTGCTGTCCTCTTATTTAGAGGAAAGTTGCAGAATAACAAAAGAATATACAAGTTTTTCATGGATGTTAAGTTCTAACTTCATGGTTTCAAATGGTGTCGCTTCACCACTAAATGCTCAAAAAAACATCTACCAATCTGGTGTATCATTTGACCAATTGATACTGCACTAACTTCATTTTGATTTTCCGTGTGTTAGTAGATATTACATCTTAATGTGTGTGAAGAATGGTGAAGCCTTCATTCATGACTTTCCACACTCCAACTTATGAACAAAGTTGGTACGTTAGCAGAATTTCGATAGCTGACAATGCCCGGATACTAGACATATTTTGCATCTAGTTTCACTTCAGCGAATGTTTGTGTTATTATGTACTTACGGTGATTCAAAACTTTAATGTCACTAAGTTCGTATATAAAGTGCGAAATTTGTAATCACAATTCATTACCTCTTGTTCCTAATAATTAAAACGGAAATACTAAGTTCTGATTGACATATCATTACTGTGATCAGAGGTCTCTGTATCACTCTTGATTATATCGTGATATTGTCTTTATGTATCTGTAAGTAGTTTGTCTTTGCATATGAAGCCAACATCCAAGCATGAAGTGAAGTATTTCGAATAGAAACTCACTGAAGATAAGTTTTAACTTCTAAAACGGTAACTGTTTTTGCAAAAGTTGATTAGGTGTTAAGAGTCAATCAGAAGGAAACCCTGGACCTGGAACTCTTACTTGTTGGCACTTATCAACAAGGTAGATCAGCAACTTTGCAAAAATCTACATCGTCCAGTGCTAAAATCGAAAATCTTAACCCTGTGGTATTCAAAGTACGACTGATCTCCTGTAGGACTGTACCAGACGCCCAAGTTCATCACTAGTGGCTGTCTGACTTAGCTGTCTATTCCGTAGTGCTTACCACTAATCGAAATCTGTCAGCCAAGCCTGCAACAAGGTCATAAGCTGCAGTGCATTGAATTTTAGCACTAGATATTGCCAGTCGTTCGGCAAAAAACCGTGAACCTAGGCTTCCTGCTCATTGATACTTATCGAAGGATGTGTCAGAAATGATGCTGAAGCTTGTATGATAGACTTTGACAAGTGTTAATCACTACTTACTAGGTGGCTTAAAGGAGTAGCGACTAATGACCATGTTGCAAGAAGTTAGTCCTGTTCAAAGTTGGAACTAAAAGGTGTCGAAGTATAACTAAAAATCACGCGTACAGACGTAGTTAGATTAAACTGTCATAAACACAAGACAAAGTTTTCAAACGGAACAAAGTTTTTACAATTTTTACGATTTTATAACTTGACACACTCTAATCAAATAGTTCTGGTCATTTCAGTCGCATGGCATAAATACTCAACAATCATCCTGACTATCTGAGACAGTTATAGTGTGGCGGACTTGAACTGATCGAGGTGAAGTGAAAATTTGGACCTCAGCAGGATTCGAGCAAGCGACCTTTGAGTTAGAAGACTAGAGCTCCGCCAACTGAGCAATGAGATCTAATTACTAGGCAGCTCTTAATTTTACTTCAATCAGTCTCGCGGATTAGTTGGTAGAGTGCTGGAATGGTGATCTATAGGTCGTTGGTTCGAATCCTGACCATATTTCTATTTCATCTTCAATCATCACCCAGGATCAATAAATATCCAAGACAAATGTTTAAAATTCACTGTCCAGAAGACAATTGTTTTTTTGTTTTTCTTTTCGTGTAACATCAACCATATTTACTATCACCATCTAGAAATTAATTTTCAGTACTTCTTCATTGAATATGTCAATCATTTCTGGATACTGACCATTGTACTAATAAAGGTTAAAGGTTGGATTACAGAAAAGAAAACAGTGTAATCAATTAACTTGTGAGAATATTTTACTGCTAAAACTTGAGTTGATTTTATTGTTTCTGATAATAGTTAGCCCTTTTTTCCACTACTATAGGCTTGATGAAAGAAACACACAGCATAAATTAAAAAATAACATTTTTATTGAATAAAAAATATTTTACTCCACTTTAAAATTTAATAGTAGGATAGATGTTATACAGTTGAATTTTGTAACACCGATACCAGTCATTATGAATATTATTGTTTTTAACAGTTTAAATAGAATTTTAACTAACTGACAGTATATTATTTACTAGTAATTCCGATCAATTGTTTTACTCCTTGTTACTGAACAACTAGTGAGAAAGCAAATTTGAAAGTTGTAGTAGTTAACCAAAAAAGGTTACATTCAATAGTATTCTCAAGTTTTATAAAGGAAATAAAGTGGAATGTAGTTGGGCGTGTACACGTAATTTTACTTCATGTAAAGGTTATTTGAAATAAAATAATTTCAAGTTGTAGACTGACATCAGTTGAAGGAACAAAGGAAGCCTGGGAGCACTGAACGGCTGTTTCGTCCAACTAGTATGGAACTCCTCAGCAGTGCGCACCCACGACCCCGCATCACTAGGGATCGAACCCGTGACCTTCAGGTTCCGTGGCCAGCATTTCACCATTGAGCCACTGCATCACAATCCAATGGTCCATATTCCCAACTTCTGTTAGCTCATGGTATAGCGCAACCGCCACCCAATGTCATCGTTGAGTAACTGTCCTCATTACCATCAGGCTTTGCCCCCAGCATTTCGCACAGAAGTCTTCCTCAAGCTTTGTCAGCTAAATAGTCAAAATCAAAGCATCAGATATGTATAAATGAGTCGAAAGTTATCTACTTTAACACTATCAGTCACTGAGATGAAGGTGCATTCACCTAATGAGTCCCAAGTAGGACAGAATCAGCAACCTGGATTTCACTTCCGACCCATACCATGTAATCTACGTAAACCTCTTTGTACATAGTCATCTGTTTGTGAAATATTATTGCTGATAAGTAAGTGTGAAATTACGCGTTTCTTCCTGTGTTGTGTATGTGTGTGTACTGTGGTATCGAAATCCTTCTTTATCGCAAACATGACACAAATGGTATTGTAGTCATTCTGTAGTCGTATACGGATATATAGTATGGCATGTTAAATGGATATGTATATGTATATATATCATTTCTATGCGTGTATAAAATGGAGTTGATGCTTTAAAACGTTTCTTTTTTCTAATCAAAATAAAGTAGAAAACGATGTTAATAATGATGATGACATTAGCAGTATATTAGATCAATTATGATTGCATTTTTGATTTATCCTAAGATAATAAAAATGAGTGTGGTGATAAAAGGGAACACAAGAGTCACCTTTTCTACTTATCATTAGGTTACAAACAAAATGTAATTAATTATACTCCATCAAATACATCTAAGGTGTTTGGATTCATCCATATATAGAGCCTAAGCAGTCAATCTTTCTTGATGTAGCCCTAAACATTAAATCTGTCTAATCTATGATGATGTCTGAAATTCATTTTTAGTATGAAATAAGCTGAGACAGGAAATAAGATATCTAACCCCAATTTTTTAAGAAAAATTCACTAAAAATGACTGGAATACCAAGACTAGTTCTTTATTTCTGTGCTCTACTACTAGCAGTCAGTATGATAAGCAGTCTTGATGAAGTTCATGTTTTATCTATCTGAAGGAATACTTTATATACCAGTGTTAAATATTAACTTTAAGGTATTTTCTGGATTTGCCTTTAAATAACTCTTTTCTTACCAAGTAACAATTACACCATGGAATGCATAATCTATTTATTTTGAACACATAAGTATGCCGAATAATAGTAATTGCTGCTTGATGCAGTTTTACCTGTTTTATATTTATCATTATCTATCCCTTGGGTTCCTAATGGAACATAGAGCTTCAGTAGCACACCTCCATTCCACTCTCTTCTCTCTAATCTTTTGAACCTCATTCCACGACAGCCCATAAGTCCTTATTTCTTCCTAACACCATCTCCTCCATGTCACCCTCACCGACGACGCCCAACTTGTCACCTCCCATCTGGGTTCCACTCGACGGTCTGGCTTGGTGCGTGATGTCCTCAGTCGGCCTTCTCAGTGTATGCCCAATCCATCTCCACTTCCTTCCAATACATATTTGTTGAGCGATAGGTTGTTTTTTGGTTCATTGCCAGCCAGCCAGAGTTCCTTCTTGCTTATTCTTATTATTCTGGCTATCTGATCTTCAGTAACGAGCCAGCGTAGGTGGCAGTTGTTGATGAATGTCTTTAGTTTGTTGGAAATGTCTTTCGAAACGCGCCAAGTCTCTGAGCTAACCTATTTTGTATGCCAGCTACGAAGTTTCACAGCAAAATACGTGCATTTGATAATCTTAATGAATGTTGTTGTACTCACATATTTCACTGTCACAGTCAAGTTGATGACAGACTAAGAATATATTTTACTATTGCTAAAGTGATATACTCTGCCTGAGTTATTAGAGATTCTGAAACAAAATTATTTTATTAGTGATAAACTGGTTTCTCGAGGTATTGTTTGCTTTAAGTATTTTATATTAGAAACCAACTGCTAACTGATACTTTTTTATCATGTGTTCTAATGACTGATGTGCATGACATCATGCTACTAAACAACTTATGTGTATTGTTTCCAAGTACATTAGATGAAGTATAACGATATTTTTAGTATCATAAGCACAGCTTTAAGTTGCCTCGTGGTGGCTGGCAATGGAATCCACGACATGTGTTTCCTACTACTTGGGACTCGTCAGCTGGACGTACCTGATACCCAGAGAGTGATGCTATTCACGCCGAGACTCGAACCCAGCACCCAGCACTTCAAACTCCATAGTGTTATCCACTAGGCCACTGGGTCGCAAGCCTTAGTATCAACAACATCACTTACTGATGTGTAAGTACATCCAGTTGACGACTCCAAAACAGAACAAAACGCGAGCCATTTAGTCTTCTTGTTAAACCTCTTATCACGAATACATTTGTGCACCACAGCGGAGGGTTTTTAACTAATTGTATTCATCAAAACTTACTTTCAGATCCTCCAGACGTACCTAAGATTATCGGTTACAAGAGCGAACAGCCAATAAACATGGCACATCTCTTGGAACTAACTTGCACTACTAAAGGTGGCAATCCACGCCCTGAATTACAATGGTTCAAAGGTGAGTGAATTTGTTTTCTATTCATTCATGATTTGCAGCTTAAATACTTAGTTATAAATAACATTCATGAAAGAAAAATTAATGATAAATTAGTGCAGGAATGTAGACGAAGTTTAATGTTATCCAGTGAATGAGGTCAGTTAAGAAACACAATTATTGATCTAACTTATATCTACTATGATGAGTATGAAATAAAAGCAACTTTGAAAAGAAACTTAGTTCCAAGGATGCTTGTTTTAATGTTTAGGTATCTTGAGTTATTCCAGACCTATCTAGCAAGTAAAATACATTTTATAATAGGATTTATGACTCTTGAAAAGTCAGTTCTAGTACAGCTGAGTTATAAGGTTGCATGTTTGAAGTCAGGATCGGAAAAGCAAGACAGGAGTTCATTGGCCTGACATCAGTGTGGAGATCTTCTGAACTCAGCACAAAGAACAAGATCCGGATTCTCAACACCAATTCAGTCAAGTCAGTGCTTCTGTGTTATGGGTGAGAGACTAAGCGCGTTACGAAAGGCATTTCAAACAAACTACAAATATTCATAAACAACTGTCTACGTTGCCTTGTTACTGAAGATCAGATGGCCAGAAAGAATAAGCAACAAGGAACTCTAGCTTGCAACGAACCAACCAAGAAAATATCACTCAACAAATATGCACTGGAAGGAAGTGGAGATGAATCGGGCATACACTGAGAAAGCCAACTGGGGACATCATGCACCAGTTCAGGTGGTCGAGTGGAACCCACATGGGAAACGACGAGTTGGTCGTCCCAGGTGAGGTTGACATGGAGGAGATCGTACGAGGAGGAAATGAGAGGTTATGGGCTGTCGTGGAACGAGGTTCAAAAGATTGGATAGAAGAGAGTGGAATGGAGGTGTGCTACTGAAGCCGTATGTTCCATTAGGAACCCAAGGGACAATAATAATAATAATAATTTCGAGGCATCCGCACAGGATCCCATATGCCAACAGAGACTGATCAATTCGGTCCAAGCAACAACGGTGTAATACAAGCAATAACACTAAAATTAAATAGACTGTTAGTATTTTTCATCAAGTTAAAAAAGTCTCACATTAAATTTCACTTTTAAACAATCTCATTGTTTTTTGATAAACTGTTTCGATACAGATAACAAGTTACAAACTTATAAACAAATGATACATTTCGATTATAATGTGCATTAATCATGACAAACAATCTTGTTTAACCGTTACGAAAAGAAAATGATAATAGACGATATGATGTGATAGATATTCTTTATAGGGAAAAGAATCATCGTAAACTATTTACTTCCTTATAGACTGACTGTCTTTCTCAGACACTGGTATGCATGATGGAACTTTCCTAATTATATGCGGCTTGCTAATAACTGAATAATAATATCAGCGAATTACAAAGAAAACATCTCTTGTACAAAGATTATCAGTGAATAACAAACGAACTGTAAAACCATTCATCAAGATTATCTTGATTGTTTTAATCTTCAACAATTATCTGATAAATTAGTACAGATAATCAAATCAAGTCAGTCGTATATACATCAAAAGTACATGTAATTACTATAAACTACTTTAAACAGGTATATGTTGAGTATATTGTTAAAACAATGTTTCATTCGTGAATTTTTTTTAATTTTGTTTTCATGTTTCAATGAAAAGATAAAAAACCAGTCCCCAGCAGTGGAGAGCCAATTATTATTGGCAAGCAAACTAGTATCAGATTAAAAATAGTGCCACAGAAAGAAGATAATGGTGCTCAATATCAGTAAGTTTTCATAAGAAAAGCATTGAATTAGTAATATGTGGATGTACAATAAAAATGGTGAACGCTTTCTTTTTACCAACACATAACTCAAGGCATCTTAATCAGCTTCTCAATAAAAAATGATCCATTTCAGATTGTGAATCACAGATTTATCTTAGAAAACTGTATGTTCAGAGACTAAACGACTGGATGAATCGTGAATATGCACAGTGTTTTCCAAATCCCTTCCACCTAATAGATAGCATACTTTAGATTACTGTAATTTATCTGATCAAACAAAAATACAATCATATTTCCTCACTAGAAGAGAGTTTCTTGAGTGTATTGCGTTTTCTGAACTGGGTTGTTTAATCATGAAGCTTTCATCGTCTCTACAGACGACATCATCAGCACTAACTTCAGTATGTAATGAACTGTCAATGTCTCTGAGTGAGTGATTTAGTAGCTTGCTCTGACGATGTGGTGTGTGATTGGTTGTTTCCTTCAATTGTTATGTCATTGACTGACTGTATAGACTTTCCTGTTGGCCTTTCCTCTGATTGACCACTAACCATTCTGTCATTCATCATCTTTCTTACTGGTTGATAGATCGGGTCTATGTCTATACATCTGTTGATTGCTGACTGACTGATCTGAATGCCAAGCTTCTTGGAATTCTCTGACATTCTTCATGTTTCGTTTGTCCAAAATTTCTTCATTATCGAAATTGAATTCATGTCCATCGTTGTTATCCACATGCATTGAAATGATTGACGAAATGTCGTGGCGTTTAATAGCCAATTTGTGCTGATGTAGGCGAAGGCAGAGACGGCGGCCGCCTTGTCCAATGTAGTGCTGACTACAGTTATTCCAGTTGATTTTGTAAATGATATTCGGTTTGTCTTCTTTGTTTGTTGCATCCTTTGGTCTGCATAATAGTGTTTGGAGGGAATTTGTTGGTTTATGAACCACACTAATTCTAAGTGGTCTCAGCAGTCTTGTTGTGATTTCTGATATATATTCTTTGTGTATGGTACGACTATGCGTTTGTTGATTTCTGTCGATGACTTTGTAATTGTCCTCTAATATGTTGATTGCGAGTTCTAATCTGCTACAGAAAATTCTCAGTTGCGTAATAGTAATATACAGATCGTAATATTGCCTCGTGCTATTCTTTCTTTAAAATGACTGAAATTCATTCCATGAATGCATTCCACAGTTGATAAAGAAGAAAAAAACAAACAAGGACCCACATTTACTAACTCATTATAGTAGTAAGATTAGTATTGGATCAATCAAAAATTATCTATCATAAATAAACTAATACCAGGTACAGGCTTGCAGCTGTTTTGAATATGTGTGCAGAAAGCCACTTATTACTATTATGATTATTCCCTTGGGTTCCTAGTGGAACAAACGGCTTCAGTAACACGTCGCCATTGCACTCTCCAATCTTTTCAACCCGACTCCACGACTGCCAACAAGCCTTCATTTCTTCCCACATGATCTCCTCCATGTCACCCTCACCTGCGACACTCAACTTGTCGTTTTCCTTTGGATTCCACTCAGCAACCTGGGCTGCCTCGTGATATCCCCGAATGGTCTTCTCAGTGTATTCCCGATCCATCTCCACTTCCTTCCAGCGCATATTTGTTATGTTATGGGTTCTTGGTTAGTTCGTTGCCAGCCAGAGTGAGTTCCTTGTTGTTTATTCTTTCTGGCCACCTGATCTGATCTGCGGTTTCCAGTGAGCGTGAATGTATGCGGCATCTGTTGATGAATGTCTGTAGTTTGTTGGAAATGCTTTTCGTGACGCGCCGAGTTTCTGAACCATCACATAGTAGCACTGACTTGACTGCATTGATGTTGAAAATACGAATCTTGTTCACGCTTTACGCTGCGTGCAGTAGATCTGCAAACTGATTTCCGATTCATGAAGGAAAGCCTATCGTGCTATCTTTCCCACCATGGTTTTCAAATCCTTGCCTGTACCACCGCCTGCAGTTGAAAAGACGCTACCTGCCTACATAGGTTAAAGATTCTACTTCTTTTAGGTTTCTCACGTTCATGGTAATTGGTGCCTATTGTCGATGCTGTTGTTGGCTGGACATCTTCATCACCTCTGTCTTCTCTACATTCACTTAAAGTCCTGCCCTCGCTGCCTGCCATGCTTCTTCTGTCAACTTCTTAGTTTTCGCCTGTACATCCACGTTTGTGCGACAAAACATTAGACACAATTCATCGACGAAATCCAAATCTTCTTCTTGGCTCTTTTCATCGGTCCAACCAACCTATGCCCTTCTTCTCCAACCCCCCGCCTCACAGTTGTCTGCTGCTGGATCCAGTCTGCCACAACCAGGAAGATCATCGGTGACAGTAGTCAGCAGCCTTGTCTTACTCCTTCCCGTCTGCACTTCAAAGGCATCACTATGCTTTCCATTGTGAATCACTTCGCATGTGGCGTCTTCGTATAGTTGTTGAATGAGGTTGATAAAGGTTTGTGGCACTAAAACCATAGTGTGAAGCAGTTTCCACATTATTTGTCAGTCGACACTGTCGAAGGCCTTTTTGAAGTAGATGAAGTTGAGGTGAGGCAGAGTTGAGTTGACTGCCATTCTATAATCTTTTCTATGATGATGCGTAGCGTTGCAATTTGACCCTTTCATGATTTGTTCTTTCTGAAGCCTAACTGGTCATAGCAAAATAATTAGCTTCATTCTATTAGCCGTTAGGATTTGTATTGTGGGCAGTCAGCTAAACGACTCAGAAAATAGAAGCATAAGCTGTGTGCAGAAACAAAACCCAGAGGACTTGTCGTCCAGTCCGCCGTCCAGAAGCCAGTATCACACTTTTTTCATATCAACATTCGTACCACATACGTCAGTCATTAGTTATTAGCTGACATGCAGCCTAATGCCTCGCTTTTGTTAGAATATACTTTTGTTTTTTGTGGCAGTTTTCATCTTAACTCATTCACAAGTTAAACGGTTGGTAATGCATATGGAATACTATTTTCAGTCATCAGTCATGTAGCTCCACTGTTATCAAAATGATTAACTACTTAAATAAATTACTGAGTATCATTCAACAGGTATGAAAGTTAAAGACTCAACAATTAGCAAATTTGACTCTTTTTTCTGAGAAATACACATCAAAAAATGGGCAAAATATTTTAATAACACACAAAATGTACCCAATGATAATTACCATAGTTGTGTAATGGTTAGTCAGTTCATAGCGAATACATCTATAGCGTATCATTCGGAATAATTTTTGCAAAAATGAGTAGAAGTATATTTTGAACAATGTTTTCTGTTATCTAGGTTTAACTATTCTGTTTGATTAAGCTTTTAAAAACATTTGTTACCTTTCATTATTTTCAACATGTAATATTTTTTCTCTCTCTGTCAACAAACTGAAAACCTCACGTAAACACGTTTTAGCTTCCTTTGTCTATCCTAGAGAGAAAAGCTTTAGAATAAGTAGTTTTTTAACAGAATCAAATGATTCGTATTCAGCTTTTCTATCACTCTTCCAGACATTAATCAATTCTACTAACACGTGCATAACAGGTGATCACGAGATGAAAGATTAACAGTTGTATAGAGTTGGGTTAGCATTAGGGACTAAGGAACATGATATTGGTTACGCTTCAATGACCAGTCAGTGCATTTAATACAGTCCCACAGGAGGTCATTCGCGACCCAGATAATGTCGCTGGCTACAATAATGTGTAACGCAAGTTCAAATCTCACAGGAGACATCAGTTCCCTCAAAGATACAGATAAGCCTTGATGATGAGTGCCAATAAGCATGAGGCCTAGGACTAAGGCTTCCTAACGATTGTCTTCAACCAAATTAATTTCATGAGTTCCATCTAGATAACAAGAGCATAATAAAAACCCTCTCTAAGGGTATAAGAAACTAGTGGATTGTGAATATCGATGTAACCAGTTCTATGAATCTCAGCCAGAAAGACAACTTCGGTTTGAAGTCTTCGCATTTCAAACATCATGCTGTCAGTAGGCATTTGATACCATAGGTTCACTTCACGTTCCTACTTGCTGCGAAAAACAATGTCAGAAAGATAAGATATTCTTAGACTGTTTTAATACAGATGAGTAAGTTAGTAGTATAAATACATGCTATTTTAGCCGAATGAAATTAGTTACTTTCCCTAGAAGTGCATTGACTTTTGAGTTGTAGTTTCATCTGAAATATTTTCAACACAATTGAGACACAGTGACATAAAGTAGTCATTGAAGGGTAACTAATGAAGCTACAAAATCCTTATGGATAAAAATTGTAATTCAGTGACCAGGTTATGTTATGCTACACTACTGTAAACTGCATACTTTAAGACAAATGCCAGGATTTCATTCATAAGAGGCTGATTCCTAAAGCAAGCAACTCTTAATTTGAAAGGAATTGTGATGAAGTAACTGCTTATGGTGTGAGTGATGCCTCCTCAATCACCAAAAAACTCAAGCGTTCCCATGAATGTGAGAACGCTTTTCCGATGAGTGCAAACAGAAACGAAGACTGCGCTCAGGAATTTCAATCAACTCATTTAAAGCATTTTGTTTTCATTTTTAGAAGAAGGGCTACCTTGTCCAACTCCAAAAGTGACCTAAGTCTTTGCAAGAACTGGCACGGAATCACGCTACTGTCCATCCCAAGCAAAATAGTATGCCGCATCATACTGGAAAGATTAAAGGATGTGCTGGATTTAAAACTACGACCGGAACAGGTTGGCTGCACCCAGGAAATACAAATCATGTGGGGACCAAACTGCAACGCTTCGCATCATCATAGAAAAGAGTATAGAATGGCAGTCAACTCAACTCCACCTCACTCAACTTCATCCACTTCAAAAAGGCCTTCGACAGTGTCGACTGACAAGTAATGTGGAAACTGCTTCACACTATGGTTTTAGTGCCACAAACCTTTATCAACCTCATTCAACAACTATACGAAGACGCCACATGCGAAGTGATTCACAATGGAAAGCATAGTGATGCCTTTGAAGTGCAGACGGGAAGGAGTAAGACAAGGCTGCTGACTACTGTCACCGATGATCTTCCTGGTTGTGGCAGACTGGATCCAGCAGCAGACAACTGTGAGGCGGGGGGTTGGAGAAGAAGGGCATAGGTTGGTTGGACCGATGAAAAGAGCCAAGAAGAAGATTTGGATTTCGTCGATGAATTGTGTCTAATGTTTTGTCGCACAAACGTGGATGTACAGGCGAAAACTAAGAAGTTGACAGAAGAAGCATGGCAGGCAGCGAGGGCAGGACTTTAAGTGAATGTAGAGAAGACAGAGGTGATGAAGATGTCCAGCCAACAACAGCATCGACAATAGCACCAATTACCATGAACGTGAGAAACCTAAAAGAAGTAGAATCTTTAACCTATGTAGGCAGGCAGCATCGTTTCAACTACAGGCGGTGGCACACACGAGGACGTCAAAGCCGGCCAGGATCGAAGAAGCAAGACAGGCGTTCACTAGCCTGAAACCAGTGTGGAGATCTACTGCACTCAACATAAAGCGTAAACATGATCCGGATTTTCAATACCAACGTCAAGTCAGTACTTCTAATGGCTCAAAAACTTGTCGCGTCACGGAAAGCACTTCCAACATACTACAGATATTCATAAACAGCTGCCCACTCTGCCATGTTGCTAAGATCAGGTGGCCAGAAAGAATAGACAACAAGGAACTCTGGCTGGCTGGTAACGAAACAACCAAGAACCCATATCTCAACAAATATGCACTGGAAGGAAGTGGGGAAGGACTGGTCATACAGTGAGAAGACCGACTGAAGACGTCACACTCCAGTCCCTCGAGTGGAGCACAGATGGAAAACGACGATTTGGGCGTCGCTGGTGAGGGTGACATGGAGGAGATGGTATGAGGAGGAAATGAGAACTTGTGGGCATTCATGGAGCCAGGTTCAAAAGTTTGCAGAGAAGAGATTGGAATGGAGGTGTGCAAGTGAAGCCCTATATTCCACTAGGAACCCAAGGGACAAATAATAATAACAATTTGCTAAATTTGTGATTATGCGGTCGTCTACTCAGTGGTTAACTTTGATATACATTTTACTGAAAATCTATTTATTTATTGCCGGAATATAGCAAGTGTTCTTTTCAGATTTTGTGACCAAAAGAACGGCTTGTATCAGAAAACTTAGTTTCTACATGATGAAAGTTGTCTGCACAAGTCATTGAGAATAGACAGAAAAGTAATTGAAGATGATGTAATCTCTTACAGGAATGTTGCTCACTTCAGTTGTAGAAAGGAACTTAAGATAATCAGTTTGCAAAAGATGCATAGGTTGTACGACCGACGTTGACACTATTCACAGCCGAGTCGTTTCTCAGTCGTACAACTGTGGTGTTATGAGTGTTCCCGCTGAAAATCACTTTGCAGTGGATATCACAAAATGTGATCTGTGACACAAACGTGTCATGAACTGACAAAATATACTCCTACTGAACGACTTGGGTGGTGAGAAACCAACTAGGCTTATCTGTAAACTTTATTCCGCCAGCCAGACAGCAGTGATCTAAGCACCATGCAGACATTTCGCTTGTTTGAGGCTGAGCTCATAAGTGATGTACCTGGACAAATTCACTTCATGGAGACGAATAAGTTCACATCATCAAATCAGTTTGATCTCATCGGTGAAATCAAGTCTACAGGTCAGCCTGAGTGGTTTCTCACTACTTAAGGTGTTCAGCAGTAGTATTCTTCGCTAGTTCATGAAATATTTGTGCCTAAGGTAGAACTTTGGTATCTTTGTTAGGGGGTTGAACAACTTACCGTTTCATAATTCAGTTTCATCAAATTATCTTCTAATTATATTCATCAGTTTAATTCTTTCTTTGCTACACTCGAGACCTGAGGCTCATCTTACGTTTTTCCATACAATGAATCTAATGAATTTAGCTTCCTTATCGAAATGAGATGAAATTTTCAGCCAACCAGTTTTTGAACTACTTTTATCATCGAAGAATTGCGTAATAAAGTAGCCGAATATAAAACAGCTTCTTTGAAAAAGAATGACTAAGTATTTATTCATTTATTCCTAAGTATTTCAGCTGAAGATGCCAGACATAAATCACCTGAACTAAAGTATTTTTAGTAATAGATAACATCATGCAGTATGCTTGATTGCCTTTAGGAAAACCGGCTAGGACATTAAATGTTATTTGCATCATACTAATGTATGTGACAATAAACATGATGAAGTAGTATAGCTAGTAATGTAAAGAAACACTTTAAAACAAAACTTGAGAAAGATACAAGCATGGAAACAGATTAGTTTTATGCATTTCAAGACAGAAAATTTAGTTTCTGGGGACATAAAATGCAAAATGTTACTTTGTGTTAAGAGCAATTCGTTCTTGTCCTGTACTATTCTTCTTGATTAATACATCGTCATTTTATTGATCTCTTGTTTCAAAAATCATTATATTATTATTTGTCCCTTGGGTTCCTAGTGGAATATAGGGCTTCACCTGCACACCTCCATTCCAATCTCTTCTCTGCAAACTTTTGAACCTGGCTTCACGAATGCCCACAAGTTCTCATTTCCCCCTCATACCATCTCCTCCATGTCACCCTCACCGGCGATGCCCAACTCGTCGTCATGTCCACGGACATGAATTCAATTTCGACGATGTAGAAATTTTGGACAGACGAAACACAAAGAATGTCAGAGAATTCCTAAAAGCTTGATATTCGGATCAGTCAGTCAGCAATCAACAGATGTATAGACATAGACCCAATCTGTAAATCAGTGAGAAAAATGATAAACGACAGAAAGATAAGAGGTCAATCAGAGGAAAGGCCAACAGGAAAGTCTATACAGTCAGTCAATGACAACAATTGGAAGAAACAACCAATCACAGACCACATCGTCAGAGCAACTCACTAAATCACTCACGGAGACATATTGACAGTTCATTACATACTGGAGTTAGTGCTGGTGATGTCTGTAGAGACGATGAAAGCCTCACGATTAACCAACCCAGTTCAGGGAACACAATGCAACCAAGACCATCCACCTGAGTAACAAATATTCTCCATTATCTCAAGATCTGAGACATTTGACGGGTTACTGTCTTATTTGACACCTAGTCATAAATGAAATCTCAATACATCCAACGAAAATTCAGAGTATTACATTCAGTTGACAATAATCATCAAAAAAAAATACTTCTGGCCATGGTCAAGCACTTTATTGATTTGACTGGTAATTGTATGACGTGAAACTCTACTATACTGAACCATAACTAGTATTTCTCTTTTTGGTTGCAGACAAGAATAGTACATAATGCACATAGTTTGAATGGGAAAAAGTATACCGCACTAAATGATCCATTGGTAAAGAATGTTTATAAATGATATACAAATCAGTATGTAGTGTAAGGTAGTCCGAGATCCAAATTTCAAGCTGCCAAGTAAAGATATGTAATTATTAAGAGATTAAAAAGAAATGAACTTTTAGTTCAGGAGTAACGTCCGAAAAAATTTATGCTCTTAGTAATTGTGAACTAAATTAGTTTCTATCCAGTCTTTGCAACAGTCAAACGGTATAGTCTTAGTTCAGTTCTAAAGAGAAAAAATCACAAACAACCATTATATTATTACTCCTTTAACAAAATGTCCATTTTCCTCTGATCATTCAGTAAAATGTGTTTCTATGGAAGCCAGGATCTGGAAATAGCTACTGTTATCCTGTTTAACACAAAACAAGTTATACTTTCATCAAAGATCAAACGCAAAAATGTTCAAAATGTGTAATAACGATTACAAATAGAGTTTAATGTACCTCAGGCATGAATTTTCTCCAACTTAGCATCACAAAACCTTAAATAACACACCGCAAAAACCTCTATGATGTTGGTTAACTTGAAACTATGAAAATTATTTTATCCGGTATTCATTGACCTAATTCCCTTCTATGCTTAATAATAAGGTACTTCCTTTTAAAATCCTTTTTCTAGTTTAAATATGCTAAAATGTGAATATTTACTCAAAGTTTCATCAAAAATCATGACTTTATCTGGTTTAAAGTTTTGATTTTCTTACTGTTTGTCAGCATTGGTAAGGTTTACATCATGGAAACGTTAAAACACCCAGTATTTTCTTTACATGAATAGTTTGCCTTCGAGTTAGTATTCATCATAGACAAACATCAGTTGGAGAAATATTGGGAAACTAAACGTACTGAACAGCTGTTTCCTCTTGGTATGGGACTAGTGCATTCCTTTCGATTTCCAATGGTTCTCTAAATGATGTCACTCCATAATGAATACCAGTCTGAAATCAATAAATCCCAACAAAACTCAAAATCGAACAAATATAGCTTTGTTTCCTGAAGGCAAATGAAAGAGTAAACCCTAAAATGTAAAGTGGACCTCTTCTGAGTACAAAGTCACATGATAAATTCTCTTCCATACTGATTATATTTCTTCATACACTTTGATAGCAAACTTCTTCTTCTTCAATTTTTTCTATCTACATAGATGTTTAGCTCGTAATACAGCTACAAATGACGAATGGATTAGTAGTGAAGGGGTTATCTTAAATGTCTTATTCCCACCACAACGTGTTAGTCTCAGCTTCGGCAGTAAGTCGGTAGTTCAAAGTGGTGAACAGCTTGTAATCAATTGTCAAGCAGATAGTTCAAATCCAGTTGCAGTTATCACTTGGCGTCATTATCAATGTGGACCAGCGCATGCATTTTACCGACGTCATTTACTGCAACAACAACAACAACAACAACGACAAAAGCTAACAAACACCATCAATACAAGTGAAGGTGAAAAGTGTAAACTTTTGGAACTCAAAGGTAAAATATAATTAGGATTTAATTACACATATATGTATTTAAAAAGTAATTAGAAATATTTTTGGAAATTCATCTTGATGACTAGCAGTGGAATGCAGGATGGGCGTTTTCTTCTGTTTGGAACTCGTCAGCTTTCAGTGAGTGTTGTACTTACCGAGATCCAAAAGCAGTATCACTGCTTCAAACCCCAAAACATTATCCACTAGATCACTGTGGCACTATATGCAGCTGATACCCATTGTACAAAGTCTGGTCCACGTGTGTCAGTAGCCCAGTATATAACGCTTTGGGATTTGAAGCAATGGGTACTAGGTTCAAGTTCTGGGTGGAATAACACCACTCATTGATAGACGCATGTACATCCACCTGATGATTCCCAAATAGAACGAAACGGGCATCTTGTATTCTGTTGCTGGTCACTAAGATGAACATAAAATGATGAATGTCTAAAAGTATCGAGACATCCGCATATGAGCCAACCTGCCAATAGAAGATGAGTGATTCGGCCCCATAAATCAAGTATCATGACAACATTTTTCGGAAAGTTGAAAATTCTTACAAAGAATGCCGGGACAGAGCCATAGCTCACCAGTTTAGGTAACTGACTTTCAGACAATGGGTCATGGCTTTAAATTCCGCTCTAACTACCAATATTTGGGTAACAAGGTAGTATCATAACCCCTTACACAACATATCAATTATTGCCCAATGAGCAAACGAGCACATGGTTGTTTAGACTACATTTTGACTTTTCTCTGGATTTGATACTAAAATGAAAAAGTAGTTCGTTTAAGATTGTTCAACTTTCACAAGTAATTGTAAGACATCTAGAGACTATACAACAAAATCTCAATTAACCTATGTAAGAAGTTGAATATTGGTTTAAAAAATATGTTTCAGATAAACAACTGTTTACAATTTATTTCCCGTGATATCGATAACAATTTTTTTGTGAAACACTTCTCTGAGCTGTGGGAGGTCACTTTTTCTATTGAAATGCCTGATACCAAGAACTCAATCTAAGTCATCGAGTTAGCATGTGTTGCCACGAACTTTTAGCAAGGCCAGAATGTGCTTATCTATGGTTATTTTGAGTGACTTTTGTTACAGCTTGAAACAATGAAAGTTTATATCAAAACAGTTTTATTAGGTCATAATTTGTCATTCAATAAACCTGTATACAGCAATGCATCTTACACTACTTTACGGAATAGTCTCTAAACGTATTCGAATCTATATCCAAATGGATTCCCGTTGAACAACATCAAGAATCATAACCCGAAAATGAGGAACATATAGTCAAACAATATATCACTATAATGTGGAATCTACAGCTCATCATTTCATATAACAATAACCAGATTTTATGCTCAGAAGTGAGAGGGAGAAGAAAGTTAAAGTGTATTGAACTAGACTAGGAAAATAGATTAACTTGCTACATACTTTTGCTACTGAAGGTTATGACAGCAAGAGAGCATCCTTGTTAGCGTTACTTTTATTCCAATCGCTTATCCTAGCACAATTTGATGAACTTTTATTTACACATACATATAAGGGTAACTGGAATTATCTCTTCTCTTTCGGTAACATTTTTACAATATTGATCACTTGATTACTATGCTTTCTAACTGTACAGTTGACTATCTGAATGATACAAAAATGTATTTTAAACCCTGGAGATCTTAGCTATTATACATATCTACATTATTGTAAGCTTAGGAGTTATAAAAATATCAAACGTTATAGAGTTTTTACTTATGTAAAAGTATTTATTTTCATAAAAATGTAGCAGTAATGTCATGTTATAATCGGTAAATCTTTTCTAAAGATGAAAAACAAAAGCAAAATGAATGTTTTTCACCGCATTTTATTAAGAACCTTAAATAAAATTTGGAAAATACTATAGACTATCATTTCAAAGGATGTAAAAATGAAAATAAAGTTGTTTTTTTTATATCCCAAATAGAAGTGTATATTAGTATATCCAGGGAAGATTATTCTATGAAGTAAAAAATCTCACTAGCCAAAAAAATACTTCAAACTATCTTGGCATAGTGCACTTATTCTACAAAGTAGTTGGAATTCAAACAAACTGTGCATAATACATTCTCTTCAAGAACTGATAGCTGTTGAAGAATCGGTGAAATTATTGAAGTACTGGATATATAGTTGGTCTTATTGTGTAACTTTTTTAAAATCAACGTGTTTGACATCGTAAGGGGACGAGTTCATAATCACTAGGCTTTGCAGTGTTAACGTTAAAGACCAGCTGCTGGTTTTAGATTCCGTGGTCGACACTGACCTACGTACAAGGAAGCGTGACCAATATTAAGTAATCACTTCCTCAATACCATCAACTGAAAATGTGCATAAGAATTACTCATTTGAAATGACTATCTCTTCAATAGGTTCCGATGAAACACCAATTCCTGGAGCATCTGGAGGTTTACAAGCAAGAAGTCATTTGTGGCTTCGTCCAACTTGGCGATATCATATGGATTTTATTGAATGTCAAGCTGAAAACCCAGTTTATGGTCCTCCGATTTGGCACGATCGTCTTCAACTAAATATAACTTTTGCTCCACAATTTTATGGCCTTCAAATTGGTGACCAGAGAGTAATAAGAGAAGGTAAGTGGTAACTGAAATCACACAGATACTTTGAATTTTAATAAAAATGACTAAAAGTATTCTCAATATCTCAAAGTTGTAGGTTACTACTACATACGTTTTACCTTGGATACCGCAGTCTAATGCATTATATATATATATATTGGACAATCTATTTTATTAACTGTCTAATGGTACAGCGTCCTTCACAAGTACTAAATAATCATTTTTTGAATCCTACGAGGCCTAATTTTAGTCCACGAAAAGCCTTAAATCATATAATAAACCTTTTGGTATACCTTTTTCCCTTTCATCTTCAAGTATCATCGCATAAGCTGACTGACAATTCAGAAATGTTTTGAGGAGATTCGTTAAACTTTCAAAATATAAACGTTGAATACGTGTTGAATACTTACTTACTTGCACATCCTGTAGACATGTGAACAGTAATCTCTTCATTGGTATCCAATTTTCAACCGATAGTTCACTAGTCTTAATTGGTTTCATCTAAATGACAATAATCTAGGTGCCCGTACAGACCGTTAAAAAGAATATAGCCCAGAGTTACTCCTCCCTTTCGTGCAACAAATAATGATAAACTGGACATTTTCTTCATTTCCTATTGTCATATATCAAACCTTGAAGTTTCGAACAATCTTAAGCCTTAATAGATAGATTTTCACACAAAAAGTGGCTCTAGGACTAAAGTCATCGTGATTATTATCATTCATTCATGAACTTGTTGAGATGTTTCATTATTACAAAATTTTGGCGGCAGAATATCTAATATGAAGGCGAACCCAACAGTTCTGCAGCTACTGAGCCTAGTTTTGATTTTATGAGGTAGACTAAGATTGAATTGGGTCGAATATATATCATGTCTGTGACCAACTAGCGCATCTCCTTCTAATTCCATAAATGAAAATAAAATGTGTCTGCCTCAAAATGCCGCATAAAACTGAGGTATGGATTGATTAGCTGTTATTTCACTCCTCCAAACATCATTCACACTATTATTATTATTCGTCCCTTGGGTTCCTAGTGGAACATATGGCTTCAGTAACACGTCGACATTGCACTCTCTTCTCCCCAATCTTTTCAACCTGGCTCCAAGACTGCCAACAAGCCTTCATTTCTTCCTCACATGATCTCCTCCATGTCACCCTCACCTGGGCCACTCAACTTGTCGTTTTCCCTTTGGATTCCACTCAGCAACCTGGGCTGCCTCGTGATATCCCCGAATGGTCTTCTCAGTGTATTTCCGATCCATCTCCATTTTCTTCCAGCGCATATTTGTTATGTTATGGGTTCTTGGTTAGTTCGTTGCCAGCCAGAGTGAGTTCCTTGTTGTTTATTCTTTCTGGCCATCTGATCTTCAGTTTCCAGTGAGCGTGAATGTATGCGGCATCTGTTGATGAATGTCTGTAGTTTGTTGGAAATGCTTTTCGTGACACGCCGACTTTCTGAACCATCACATAGGAGCACTGACTTGGTCGACATTAGTACTGAAAATCCGGATCTTGTTCTTTGTGCTGAGTGGAGTGCAGTAAATCTCCACACTGATTTCAGATGAATGAAGGCCTGTCTTGCTGTCTGTGGTTGAAACGATGCTGCCTGCCTAGGAAGTTGGGTGAAAGAGACTACTTCCTTTAAGTTTCTCCCGTTGATGGTGATTGGAGATTTTGATGTTGGTGGTGGCGTTGGTTAAGTATCATCATCTCTGTCTTTTCTACGTTCACCTGAAGAAAGTCTCGTCCTTGCTGCCTCACTTCTTCCGCATCTTTATTGGTTTTCGCCTGTAGATCTTCGAGTTTGCGCGACACGACATAAGACATATATCGTCATCATCGGCGGTGGGATCCAAATCTTCTAGGCTCTTTTCGACGCTCCAGCCAGCCCATGCCCATCTTCTCACTCCTCACACTTTGTTGCATGGTCTGGTCCAGTCGACCATATTCAGGAAGATGACGGTGATTGTAGGTGGCAGCTTTGTCTTCCTCCTGTCTTCACTTCAAAGGCGTCACTGAGCTTTCCATTGTGAATCATTCAGCATGTGGCGTCTTCATGTAGCTTTTCAATGAGGTCGATAAAAATTTGTGACACTCCGTAGTGCTTAATCAACTGCCAAATTGCATGTCAGTCGACGCTGTTGAGGACCTCTCAAAATCGACGAAGTTGAGTTGACTGGCATTCTACGCTCTGTTCTGTGATTATGTGTAGTAGTGCAATTTGATCCGCAAAATGATTTGTTCTTCCTGAAGCCAGTCAGCCTGTCTCGGTCGTAATTTTGAATCTAGCGCCTCCTTTAGTCTTTCCAGGATGATGAGGCATAATATTTTGCTTAGGGTTGACAGCAGCGTGTTTCCGCGCCAGTTCTTGCAAAGAATTTTCTCCCTTCTTTGGTAGTGTGACAAGTTACCCTTTCTTACAATCTGCAGTTACCTCTCCTTCGTTCCTTGCAAACCGTCTGCAATAGTGATGTGAGCATTTCCACTGATGTCTCTGCGTTCGTTTTCAGTGCTTCTGGAGGAATTCCATCTGATCCTTCTGTTTTCCGGCTTTCAGCGATTTTATGGTGTTCAGGACTTCACTTCTGCTTTTGTCGGAGGGTTTGTGTTCACTGATAATTTTGTGGCTGGCTGCTGGTGGTATTTCTGGACGAGTGAAAGATAGTGGCCGATTCAAGAGTTTTTAAAAGTGGCCAGCCGATTGTTTGCTTTGATTCTCCTCTTTGGTAACTAGGTTTCCTTCACTATATTTCATTGGTTTCATCTGCGTTGGTCTCTTCCCTGATCATAACCTGGTTATTTGGTATTGTGTTGTCAGGTCTCTCCTACCTGCCGCCTGTTCTGCTTCACTTGCCAGTGTGTCGTAGAAATGTCTTTTATCTTTGTGTGCACTCTTCTTCACTTCTTTGTCCAGTATTTTACAGGTTGAGTTCAGTTCTTTTTTTCATTGTTCATGCCTGCAATCCACTGGTTTATCTTCTGCTTCCAAACATTCACATAAAGAAATAAAATAAATCCAACCTAATGTTATTGATTCTGAATTGCGAATTGTACTTTATAATACAGTTAAGTAGAAACCCAGGTGTTTTACCCGAGTTCATCAGTTAACACAGTTTTCTTTGTATACCGAAAGAAACCCAATTGCCGACTGACTACATCTTCCTGGTCAAAGCAAATCTATTCAGTGCTAAACGATTGGCATTATGTTACCAGTTGCAAAAAGTATAACCATTAATAGTATCCTTAACTTCAATTGCGAAACAAATATTTGGAAATTAACAAGTTTCAGGACCCCTTAAACGGTACAATAATGAAATCAATGAAATTCCTTAAGAACCCTAACCTGAAGCACCACAATTGCTGGCTTTCAATTTAGGTGAAGTTTTTAAGTCATCTCTTACCTGATTAATTGTTTCACTTCTTCTGCCTTCTTCGAACTCAACTCTAGTTAAACTTATTTTTCCTTGAGAAAAAAATCAAAGGAAAGAAGTAAAAGTCTTTATCATAGCAAACATTCGCAAAATCATGGGTGTTTTTTTCAGCTATTCACCATTTATTTCTTAAAATTTAGTTAGTTCATTAGCTAGCAGTCGTGTCTGGTCTTAAGTTTCGTGGAAACTTATAAAAATGAGTATAGCTTTCAATAGTGCTACACCCTCAGTTTGAACATAGGTCTGATGACGTAAATTGTCATTGTCTACGATAAAGAATAGTGTTTTTCGCCTGGACTATTACAAGTTAGTGTTGTAAGTATAAATCCTGAAGCTCATGTTTGAATGAATGTAGGTGTAGTTGCTGCCTAGTAAATTTAAACAGCAGGCTTGTAAAGTATCTCCTGGAAGTTTCAAGACTCTGTATAGCTCCTTAGTGATGCATAAGTCTTGGAAACAATGGCATAAACAATCGATATAATATTAGTGGAGTGGATAAATAAATAATCATTTCAAGATGCACTTCATTTTAACCATAAGACTCAAACCATATTTGTTTCCAGTTAAAACCTTGAAACAAAAATTTCAATTATTCCTGTGTATTACAGTAATGTTTGTCGTTGTTGGTAAGTGACACTGTAACACGCCATAATACAGAAGGCCCCTCGATCCTGTCCTTATCTGTAGAACACGCAAGTAATTTGACATTATCAGGTTTCTTCAGTCTTGATCATTTTCTTCTAGTTCTGATAGACAGCAACCTCGCCTGGTTAGCCAATTCAGCAGTTACTAGCCGTTCCTAAGCCCGAGTAAAGAGGGAAGGTTGGGCTTAGGACTAGCAACCCTTCCCCGGAAAGCCAATCCAACCTCTAAAGAAACTTCAAAGCACAAGAAAAAATATGAAAAATAAAAACAAACTCATTCCTCACTAGAATCGGAGAGACGAAATGACGCCGGATTGTGAAAGCTTTCGGGAAGCCAATTGGCCAGTGTGTCTTCTCTCAATGAAAGCGAAAGTAAACATGGAAACATGGATGCCCGCACTATGTTTGAACCTAGCAAGGCTGTCCAGATTGCAAACGAGATGAGAAGGTATTGCATAGAAGTGCTAGGAATCTGCGGAAGCAGGTGGAATGGAAGTGGACTGTCCAAACTGCCAACTTAAGAGTCAACAATCTACTGCGATATCGTCACCCAGACGACAACCATGAGCACACTGAGTTTTGGAGTGGCTATCATGATGTCCCCAACAGCACAGACAGTGGGTACCAATCTCCTCCAGGATCATGACAACCTATAGGAATTATTCACTCAATTTAAGAGTTATTTAATATAAACGGGATTATTTTTGTGATAATTTCTGCCAATACAATCGACAACTTTTATCAGTTGACTGATTTTCTGTACAATATCAGACATGGATACCTTATGAAAAGAATAAATGAAATAAATAAATAAATGGATACCTGTGTAATATTACAGAAAGGATAATTATATAAGCAAAATTAGATTCCAAACAGTTCAAACTCTACAGGAATTGTGAACTAATTACTTACAGTTTACAATGAATTTTGTAATTCACCTAGGAGATCAATTTTCTAAACACCTGAAATAGCTTTATTTACTCCTTCTGTAATTTCATGAAACACTTATAATGGAAAAATTCCCATTTAGACATTTAGTAAAACAAACAATGTGAGTGAAGAAATATTTCTTTTCAATTAGTTCCTCATCAATGGCTCTACACTAATATATGTAGCATTTTCAAACGTAAAATTACATTACTCATACCACTAGTGGTGAGAGTTGTTCAATGAAAGATTATCAATCTCAAAGTATCAAGAAGGTGATAACTGATCAGGTATTTAAGACAGTTAACTAAAGCAAAGATTAATTATCGTAGAAAGATTTTGTGAGCAGATTCTTACATAATTGATATTTTGTGTAATGATAACTAAAGAACGAAAATGAACTGTTACGTAAAATGGTAAATTGTTGACGGTAATTAGAGACAGTAGTGGGAGAGAAAGATGGTTAAGTCTGTAATAATAATAATAATAATAATAATAATGGAGCTATTAAAATATTATTTATAGTCATACACCAGAAAAAATTCCAACGTTCTGTAGCTTGCTTAAAAATAAGCCAGTAGTAGGTCAATTTTCAGGTCAGAATTCGTCATGAACTGACGTTAATGAGAGAGATATTGGAGACCTGGTAGTACTGGTCAGCTGTTTCGTCCCAGTATGGGGCTCATCAGCAGCATGAAACCATGACTTCACCTCATGTCCCACGGTCAGTGCATGTCCACCACAAAAGTGGTTAAGAATCCAGTGGTCCATATTTCCTACTTCTGTCAGTTCAAGATGTAACGCGACCTCAGTTCAATCCTGTCATTGAATAACTGTCCTCATGTTCAACTTCGATAGGCTCAGTGTTCACGACTTGTCATTGGAACTTCAGGAATCACCCCTCCAAGCTAGTCTTTAATGTGCACTCCTGAAGAGTCTCATACTAGAACGAAACGGCTGTCAAGTACTCCCTGGTCTCCATTGTTCCTCCCGCTAATATCAGTCTATGGTGAACTCCAACCTAAAATCAATAAATCTCCACAAACCTCAAAATTAAATTTCAGTTTATGAGCTTTTTCCATTCACTTTAGCAGTTAAATAGCATATAAGCGAAAGAATTTTATTTCCTTAAATTTATTCATTGACTTTTTCATCAGGTTAGCTTTGTCTACAAGCTATTAAGGTTATTATTGTTATCAATACTATTATTTCAAGTTGTTATTCATCGAAGACTGACATCAGTTGGAGGAACAAAGGAAACCTAGGAGCACTGGACAGCCGTCTCGTCCTAGTATGGGACTCCTCAGCAGCGCGCACCCACGACCCCACCAGCAGGGATTGAACCCGCGACCTTCAGGTTCCGCGACCAGCGCGTTACCATTCAGCCATAATAGGACGAAACAGCTGTCCAGTGCTCCCAGGTTTCCTTTGTTCCTCCAACTGATGTCAGTCTACGATGAATAACAACTTGAAATATTTCCAAATCTCCACAACCCCCTCAATACTATTATTATTATTATCGTTATTAAACCCCTTGTAAAAAAGCGACAGTTATAAAAATAATCATAAAATTTATCTCCCTATCAAATTTATGTATGATGCCGAAATCTCATATGTGAGCATATTGTTATCATTCTTATTTGTCAAGTGTTAGTTATAGCGTGAAAACAAACAATAATCTTGTAAATCAATAAATGGGATTAACCTTCTTAGGTTTGTTTTTACAAAAAATAGGATATTAAATTGGAAATTTATTGTCTTACAGAAGACAGTAGTTTATTGATTGAATGAATGTATAAAAATCCAAGTTAATTAATGTTGTTATAAATTATGCTACCGCTTCAAAATTCCCTTTCATGTAGTAATCACTGTATAACATCGGCTTCAAGATGCCTTAGTGAGTGAAATACAAATCATTGAATGACTGACTGGTCGTACGGATACAAATCACAAGTGGTTTGAATGTATATTCTTTTCCTGATATTAGTTAGCCAAGAAGTGAATGCGTGAAATGGATTTATTTACACAAACCATTTTCATGAAGTATATACTCATTCCACCTACGAAAGGTTTGCAGATTGACTTTTCATGAGGTGTATGGTTATTCTTTAACCATAAGCAGAAAACTTGGATGTTATTTAAATATTGTTTTACCAATTCATAGCTCTACTTCAAATTTTACTACAAGAAGGTTTTTAGTAAAGCCTTGAAAGATCCTAGGTCGGAGGAAGACAAGTTAATGTAGATTTTCTTCTAACTAGGCTGTGAATGAATACCTAACTGTAATCTGTTATTTTAGATGCAAACGGAATAAGAAAGTCGATCACATAAGTTGAAAGTGGGCATAAATAAATCCCTGACCGAGTTCTTCCATGATAAACACGACTACAAAACTGGGCGATGTGGGTTTGAACCTTGGGTGGGAGATCAGTTCCATCGAGATTACAGACACGCCTTGCTGACGAGTGCCAACAACCACGAAACCTAGGTTGAGCAAGGCTTCCTGCAGATTGCTTCCAACAAACTCAAAAGCTACGAATGTGCACCGCCATGCCGAACCTCCTAACTCGGTTGCCACATTGCAAATATGATCGATAAGATCCGGTCTGCATTCAGGACTAGACAACATAAAGTTGGTTGCACTCTCGTGACCAATCACTACAGTTCTCGAGGTTCTTCACCCTGTTTAAAATGTAAATAATCCTTGTCTGGACCTCTAGTTGATACAATCCAATGCGTTTACATAGATCCTGAACCAAATGAATTACGGACAACAATGTTGGTGAAGACAGTTACTCAAGGATGACACTGGATCAAAGTAGTGTTATATAGATCATTAAATTTAGACGAAATGGCTCAATGGTAACGTCCTGTTCACGGAACCTGAAGGTCTTGGGCTTGAGCCCTGACGGGTTCATTCGCACCACGCTGCTAAGAGGTCCCATACTATGACAAGACAACCATCGAATGCTTTCAGGCTTTTAGTGCTTTTCAAACTGGCGTCAGTCCATGATGAATACCAAGTTAAAATTACGTCACTTGTCATCACGATCATGAACTTCGTTTTAGTTGTTTACAGAAGTATGAGTTATTTACCCATGGCACGGAAGTAAGAAGTAGATGCATATAACAACATAAGTAGCATTTACATTTCAGACGTTCGATAAAGTTAAATAAACATACTTATAATAGTATAATTGCCTGTATTATACCGTCGTTGATTGGATCGAATTGATCGGTCTCTATCGGCATGTGGGCTCCTGTGAGGATACCTCGATATAACCTGTATTCTACTCATAGTAATGATGGGTAGTGGCTACCAGTGGAATCCAGGATGCGTATTTCGTCCTATTTGGGACCCGTCAGCTGGATGTTGTCCCCACCGGGATCCGGACTCGGGAGCAATCGCTTCAAATGCCAGAATGTTATCCGGTGGGAGCAACATCACTCACTGGGAGGCAGGTACATCCAGCTGACGAGGCCGAAGTAGGACGAAATGCGTATCCTGGATTCCATTGCTAGCTACTATCCATCATTACTGTACTTGTAATACTTTTATGCAAAAATATATACTCCAAAGTGATTGCCGTTTTGAGTTAAAAGCAAACAACAGTTGAATTTTATCCAAGGTAAATAGTGAAACTCACTAAAACCCTAATGTTACTAATAGTCAGTCTCTTCAAGGCATTTTAAAACAATTTTTGCCCAAATACCCCTCCCCCCCACCCTACGAGAAGTGAAAAAAAACATTATTTCGGCTTTACTGAACTTTTTATTCTGTATAAGGATAGATAACAGATAAGTTATGCCCCTTATCTTGAACTAACAAAGTCATTCTCACTGTAATGTGGGTCAAAAAGATAGTTAATAAAAATCTTTTTACGCAAAAATTCCAACGGGTTTCTGTATATGTAAAACTCGTTCATAGTCTATTGGAAGGTTTGAAAAGATGCCATATAATGCACGAGTTTCATTTCCTTATACAACTATTCATTCAATTTCACCACGGTTACTCAGCTGGCAAAAGGCATTCACCACTGATGATAAACAATGAAAAACATTCATCACCCTGAAAACCGTCAATCGTATTTATGGTTTTTCTTTGCACTTAAAGTGATACTTATATGACTTCATCTATCGTCAAGTAATTGAGCATTATTTTGCTTCTGGTAACATACTTGTCTGAATACATCCTTACAAAAACATTTTCCTCAGTAGACATTTTACGCTATTTAGTAGTAATTACAGTTGCTGAATTTCTTAGTTTCATTATACGATACACATTAACAACTGAAATTTCCTGAACTTAGACTGACAAGTGATATTGATCTTTCAAGTCAAATGATAACTTTACTATAAGTACTTCTAGCAGCTGCATAACTTGGAACCTTAAATGTAGACTTCAGTCTGATAGTTAATGAAATATGCCAAAATAAACACATAGTATGTTACTCAAGGTACCTAACAAACGCTTGATTTGTTTCAAAGTTACACTATTCCTCTATAGTGTAGTCTATTTTGTTTTTCTTTATCACTCCTATATTAAGCTGTTCTGATTGACTTATATAAAAGTTACTTGAATTATTTATTACTTTGTAGTACCAGTGTTGAATGAATAAATTTTATATTATTTCAGGTGAAACAACTCGCCTAGATTTTGGACTGTATGCAAATCCACCTGTAACAACTGTTTCATGGTTTCGTGATAGTGAACAACTTCCATTTGAACCTAAAGAGCCTGGGTCATGGCAAGGTGTTTTTACGGCTGGAAACGCTGGAGAGTTACTTTCATTGCATAAAATTAATAGAAATAATATGGGAAACTACACTGTGCTAGCTTCAAATGGTCAACATGAATCAAGGAATTCTTTCTTTCTGAATGTTACTTGTAAGCTATTTTCCATTATGCATTTCATAAAACATTCAATGCAACAGAGGTTTATTTTTATAGATATGCCTAACAACGAAGAGCAAGTCAAGCTTCTTTGGTTCAAGTGTGAATATGATAGTAGTGTGAGTAGTAGTAGTAGTAGTAGTAGTAGTGTGAGTAGTAGTAATAGTATTGTGAGTAGTAGTAGTAGTAGTAGTAGTAGTGTGAGCAGTAGTGTGAGTAGTAGTAGTAGTAGTTTCCAGACCTTTCCCAGTAAGGTTTAGTAGTCCTGCAAATCTAATCTTTGACGGTAAACTATAAAAGAAGTGACCAGAAATTTATGATATCCTCTGATCAGATGCCTTTAAGCCCATTAGTTATCTATTTCAATATGTATAGTTTATGCTGAGAAATACTGATATTTGTTAACGTGTTACAAACCATTCCTCCATAGTCATATATTCTTAGATTGTGATATCTTTATAATTAATTTCCTCCAACCCTAATATAGATGGACTTTTTTTGTGTTTTATAGTATTATACCAATTCTCAAGTGGGTTTTAGAGGTTTTCTAACTATCCTGCTACGGCTTATTGATAGTAAAATTTTGACTGTCTTTAATAAGCTTATCTAAGTAATGTTGTCAACTGATGTAACTGAAAGTATGATTGTTTCTTTGAATTAAGTTTTCAATATTGTGACTTATCTTAATATTTACCCCAAGAGAATGTAAGAAATGGTACTTTTTCAAAGTAACTCTTAGTTACCTTTAAAGTGATAAAGATCTAGATATCAATATATACTAGTTAAAGACATTTATTGACTGTCAAAATGTGTATATTCTTTATCATATAATTAATTTGTTATTTTATGCATCATTAGTTACTCCGCTTTTCTATCGCTTCTCATATTTTACAAAGATCCAGCAAATATTATTGGAAAAATTGAGGAAAATATAACACAAACAAATCAAGACTTTTCTACTCTAGATTGTAAAGCAAATGCAAATCCAGCAATTACAAATAAAGCATTTACTTGGTATCGATATTTTCCACCAAAAGGTTGGCCTGAAGAAGTAGACGAAGGAGCATTACAACTAAGTGATCCAATATACTGTAATGAAGTAAGTGTAGTACTTAACATCTTTTAAAGCTTGGATATTTTTACTGATCTTTATCTTCAAGTTGTTTGTTCTCTTATATATCTTTGTCTGCTTTTATATCATTCGTTTTCTATCCATCTGCTCTCTATATACTAGTCTAAAGTGAGATGACTTGAGCTGATGCACTCCTATACAAGGTTTTATGTTGACTTTGTTAGTCAAATGTTGTTGTCCTACCTGACATCCATTAGGTAGGTTAATGTGATGTCTAGATATCTCCTCGATTTCAGCCTCTAACTGCTCACATCTAGTCAATTAAGTGATAAGAGTTTACTCACAATTAGGTACGTGTGTATGTCAGGCTAGTGAACTGTGAAACCATGTGATGACCATTCCATGAATTAGACTCCTTTCTCATATGGTTTGTCTTCATGAAATTCTGGTTGTTCTCATCAAATCCCTTTAAGATTAATTACAAAGATTTTTAGTTCTATTCACAAAAGTAACTAGATGAAATTTAGTCTTATTGTACCGATAAAATAACTTAGTTTTTGGACTTAGTATATACATTCAGGCGAAAACGTAAGCTCAATTAAAAATGGCTATAGATATTTACCTCTATTCTCAAGAAATGTTTTAAAGACAAAATATACACTGATATTCAATAATTTGAAACTGACGTCAATTTTAATTGCGCCAATTCAAGTGATATAAACAAATTCTGAGATTGAAAGTGTATCATAATTATTTAAATTAACGATGTTAAGAAGTCAATTTATTCACTGAATATTTCAAATAAATTCTCCCAGAATTTGTTCATTTGTAACTGAAATATTCAAAATGATCTTCATAAATATCTTACATTTATTTGACAAAATAAGAAGGAAATCAGTGGCGAATCATTTATTTTAATTTACTCTGCTTAATTAAAACATCGTATCTGATAAATTGCTTACACCACTATTGCAGTGTCTGGAAGGAAGTAATAAGGTACCTTGTCAAACTCCCAAGGAAGTGCAACCTAAGTCTTGAACTGACGCGGAATCAGGCTGCTGTCCACCCTAAGCAAAATATTAAGCCGCATCATCTTGGAGAGACCAAACGATGCGCTGGATTCAAAATTACGACCGGAACAGACTGACTGGCTTCAGGAAGGATAAATTATGTGCGGACCAAATTGCAACGCTTCGCATAACCATAGAACAGAATATAGAACGGAAGTCAACTCTCTACCTCACCTCAACTTCATCCACTCTGAAAAGGCATTCGACAGCCTCGACCAACAAGTAATTTGGAAACTGCTTCAACACTACGGAATTCCACAGACCTTTATCAGCCTCATTCAACAACTATATGGAGACGACACATGCCAATTAATTAACAGTGGGAAGCTCAGTGACGCAGTTGAAGTGGAGACAGGAGTGGAACAAGGCTGTCTAAAATCAATCACGATATTTCTGATTTTGGTAATGCAACACACAGTGAGGGGCTTTGAGAAGTGAGGCTTTGAGAAGAGGGGGATATACTGCCTGGCCGGAGAAAACATCCTAGAAGATTTGAATTTCACCAATGACTTGTGTTTAATGTCACACAAACTTGAAGATCTACTCAAGAAAAACTAACAAGTTGACAGGAGAGGCAGGGCACTGCAGGGTAGAGAAGACGGGACTTCCTTCAGATGAAGGTAGAGAAGACAGAGGTGATGAACATACCCAAACAACACCACAACCATCACCACCAACAACACCAAGCTCCAATCATCATCAGCGAGAAAAACTTATAAGAATTAATCTCTTTCAACTATCTAGGCAGGCAGCACCCTCTCAACTACATGAGGCACTGCCACATACGAGGACGTCAAAGACAGCCAGGATCGGAAAGACAACAAGACAGGCTTTCACTAATCTGAAATCAGTATGGAGATCTTCTGCACTCAGCACAAAGTGTGAACAACATCCGAATTTTCAACACCAATTCAGTCAAGTCAGTGCTGCTATTGTTGTTTCAGAGACTTGTCACGTCACGAAAGTTATTTCCAACAAACTGTAGACACTCATCAACAACTGCCATCTACGCTGACTCGTTATTGAAGATCACATGGATAATCAGAAAGAATCAGGAACAAGGAGCTCACTCCGGCTGAGTGGTGACGAACCGACGTAGTAAGAAGCTATCACTCAACAAATATGCACTGGAAGGATGTGGAGATGGATTGAGCATGCACTGAAGAGGCAGATTGGGGATATCATGCGACAGGCCAGGCCGTCGAGTGGAACACAGATGGGAAACGACGAGTTGGGCGTCGCTGATGAGGGTGACATGGAAGAGATCGTGTGAGGAGGAAATGAGAGGTTGTGGGCTGTCGTGGAACGAGGTTCAAAAGATTGGAGAGAAGAGAGTGGAATGGAGGTGTGCTACTGAAGCCCCATGTTCGACTAGCGACCCAAGGCACAAATAATTGTAATATAGTTATCTGATAAATCACCTGGATACTCCATTTACTTGGTGGTATATATATATATATATATATATATATATATATATATATATATATATATATATATAAGACTAAACAATTGCAGCATGGGAACACAACGATGTATATATTCCTTGAACGCTGTAAAAATATGGGAAAAGGGTGGGAGACAGTTTGCCGAGTACTGAAGGTACTTCAAGTTGCATGACAATGGCTAAGCACAGAAGTTTATCAAAGACTGTTATAGATCTAAGGAAAAGTAGGTAAAGAATATTGTTGATCTCAAATTCGAAAGTGATGATGTATCTGAAAGAATTAATGAAAGGCTGAAAGCCTCACCGAAGAGAAGATATTCTGCAGTATAGCATATCACCCTTTACACAACAGTATGCTCCATGGTCCAATTAAAAGTCAATAGATTCTCTCCCTGTGTTATATCTAATTCTATGTGCAAACTAATTTGCATCTGCGTTAACAGTTACATCTAAAGAACAAAGACAATGGCATATACCAAAAAGTTTAAATCTCAGGAGATCAAGCACTTTCAGAAGTTCATTTATTCAGCATCTTATCAACAAAGTGTGAAGTTGATATCTCAAATTCTTTCAAGGTAATCAACAAACAAAATTATTACAACTTTCTTAAATTAGTTAAGGCTTTAGTAATCAAATGACTGAGACCGAAATTGTATGTTTCAAAGGAAACAGTGATATATCTTTCTTTGTGATGGTAACCTTTTATTTATCCTCTTAATTGATGACGTTATTTTTTGTCTGAAACATTTACTGTTTGTACACGATTATGATCATTGTTCTAGTCATTGAGTATAAACCATTTTTTTGATTACTTAAAGTTTCTGTTATTTACCATAAGCTAGCAAAGTTGTTAATCTTCTCACCTAATCTTCTGTTATTATTCATACTGTCTTCTTGAACATTCTCTTGCATGAGATATAAAACTGAAATTTCGTAGCATATCCTGTTAACTGTATCTGGATGTTTTTTTCTTTGTTAAAATATGTTTTTATATGTTACCTACTAAAAAAGCAATTTCAAACTCATTGGGGAAATAATACATAGATGTCATAGGTTGTAAGCAGCTGACGAGAAACCGGTGAAATAGAATGGTATCTTATCATTCTGCTACGGTCGTTATTATTCTTCTGTTCAATAAACTACTTGCTCTGTAGTTCGACTAACTTATTATGAATAGAATAGTTGATAACAAACTAAATAACGAGTAATGTTCAGAAATTTATTCAAGAAATCTTTCCACCTTTATTTCACCAAGCTTTATCAGTTGTCCCGGTCTGCAGTATATATATATATATATATATATATTATATATATATATATATATTATTATATTACCTATCCCTTGGGTTCCTAATGGAACATAGAGCTTCACTTGCACGTCTCCAGTGCACTCTCTTCTCTGAAATCGTTTGAACTTGTAGCCACGACTGCCAACAACCTCTCATTTCTTCCTCACACCATCTTCTCCATGCCGCCCTCACCAGTGACACCCAACTCGTCGTTTCATATCTGGGTTCCACTCGATGAGCTGGCCTGGCATGTCGTGTCACCAGTCGGCCTTCTCAGGGTATGCCCAACCCATCTCTACTTCCTTCCAGTACATATTTGTTGAGTGATAGCTCCTTGCTACGTCGGTTCGTCACCACCCAGCTAAAATTCCTCGTTGCTTATCCTCTTTAGCCATCTGGGCGTCAGTAACGAGTCAGCGTAGGTGGCAGTTGTTGATGAATGTCAGTAGTTCGTTGGAAATAACTTTCGTGACGCGACAAGTCTCTCAACCATCACATAGCAGCACTGATTTGACTGAATTGGTGTTGAAAATCCGGATGTTGTTCACACTTTATGTTGAGTGCAGTGAAGAAGATCTCCACACTGGTTTCAGGCTAATGAACGCCTGCCTGTCTTGCCGTCTTTCCGATCCTGGCTGTCTTTGATGTCCTCGTATGTGGCAGTGCCTCCTGTAGTTGAAAGGGTGCTGCCCGCCTAGATAGGTGAAGTAGACTACTTCCTTTAATTTTCTCCTGTTGATGGTGATTGGAGGTTGTTGTTGTTGGTTAACTAGTTCCCTAGTTAATAGCCGGTCCTAAGCCTGGTTAAAGAGTGAAGGTTGGGCTAAGGGCTAGCAACCCTATACCGTAAAACCAATCAAACCGCTAAAGAAACTTCAAAGCACAAACAACACATATATTTATATATCTCTGGATTATATCATGATAAAAGATTGCTTGATAGTGGTAAATGTTAGAAAGAGGTAAACTTACATCCTTCGAATTTACTTCTATTTGTCTCGTGCTGTGAAAATTACTTGCTTATACTGTGAATAGTAGATTGGTTAACCAATCCATACATAATAACTCTAATGTATGTAACTGTTTTACTTTGCCTACTGTGAGCTTAATAATTAAAGTATGAGTTCAAATTTATCCACCCTGAAAGCGATTTCAAGGAATGTTAAATAACAGTCTGTCAAATGTTCAGTAAGAAAGAAGTATGTTTTTCGTTAAATATTTTAAACTACATAATAATAATCTTCTGTACAGTTTGCTATTCAAGTATATTTGATCTTATAATAATCATCAGTACTCTATTGACATATTTTCCTTTTACAAATGTAATAAACGCGATTGTTATTTCTTTCTGATTATTTCAAGTCTCAGGTGGATAAACCAAAAATGCTTGCTCAATGTGAACAACAGGATAAGTTTCATATATCTAGTACATTTGTCATTTATCAATTGTCAGAAGAAGATGTCGGTAAATATGTATGTGAAGTCAGTAATGGGATTGGTGAACCAGTGAAGAAAACTTTTAATCTTTTCTATCATTGTAAGTATATTATCATCATTATAAAGAAATTAGTGAAAAAAGTTATTGAAAGCAGAATAATATATCATACCTAATTACTTTGTTAGATAGAAGGTGTAGAAAATTTCTTTGATGATTATTTACGCAGAGCATTTCTGAGAGCAAGATGTCAGCTTTTCCCCCTCCTCATTTTATATATCTCATTGATTTTCTTAAATTTCAACGGAAATAAAACTGAAGATTACAAACAAAAATCATAGTTTGATCTAAATTTAAACACTTACACCTTAAATTGTCTTATCAGTCACTGGGTGAAAACTTGTATGACATTTTAAACAAAGTTCATTCATCATAAACAATGTATGTAGGCATGAAATTCTTCAGGAAAGTACCTAACTGAACTAATACTCACAAACATACCTATAAAATCGTAAATTCGAAGCGAAAGGAAATCAATCTTAAAAGTTGCTTTATATGTTTAACAGTGAGGTGAAAACTGAGAATTTCATCGTTTATGTATCAACATATATATTCATATTATTCATTGTAGTGTATTTTCAATACATTGCATAGTAACACTGAGGGTATCCGGTATATTACAATGTCTACTTAATGCCGAAATCTAGATTGAAAATATGGCAATAAATGAAGAGAGTAACTAAATTTACACTCAAGGTTACTCATTTCACACACTATTTGAACGAAATAATAACTACTAATATTAATCATATCATATTAGGCTTCCACAGCAAACTGCTGGATAACAGTATATACATTATTCATATAACTTCAGGAGATTGAGACTTAATCATTGTACTCTTTAACAATCTATGGTGATATATATGATGTAATATGAATAGGAATTCTGACTATACATGCGAAACAAATATAAATTTTGGGAGGTTTTTGAGTCACAAGATAACGGTGTGATGTTTAAAGCATTGAGTGATAAATTCGAGTCTCAGCGAAACGTGGTACGTACAGGGAAGCAAGAGAATCCAGCCGACAAATAACAAACGATAATGAAATGCTATTCATCGTTTCACCGTTAACCATCAACTAAAAATTAAGATCATGATGAAATTGTTAGAATTACAGAGTCACCTAGTTTCACCCAGTGGTGTTACATGAATATAGAGGAGATTGGTAAAACTTATTACAGTTAAACATGTGTCGTAAGCTTAAGTTTGCTTTCCATCTGATTTGTGACAAAAAATTTATTGACTGTATAAAATAACAAATAATTAGGAATGGAAACAAAACAGGCACTAGATCCTTCTACTGACAGTATAAAAGATAATTAACTAACCGTAACGTGTAGTATAATCTCAGCTTCTAACACTTTGGCTGTTACAACCAAGTCTGTATATAGAAGAAACTTGGCACTAATGCATATCGCTGTATAGCCGCTTAAAATCCTGAATTTTTGGTGTGTATTTAGAATACGTCCAACTACCAAATCTAGTTTTCTCCCATAAAATCCTGTCACTTTAGATTTTAAATCTTATTTTGCCATTTATACACGCGCACTTTTGAACAGCCCCAAACAAAAACGAAGTAGCTGCTCGTTGATCCCAGGTTTCCACTACTTCGCCAGCTGATGTTATTTTTCGATGAATACCAGTTTGAAATCAATAAACATCCATGAAAGTACAAAACTGAATCATTTAATTGTCGTTACTATGGTTTTTATTCTCTAATGAATTTATTTCTACAAGTGTGCATATCATCATTCATTACTTATCCAAACTCATCAAACAAGACATCAAGCATATTTCATTTCTGATTATTGTAAGAATTTCTTTGCATCACCTGAAACATACCTGACCACTCCATACGTGTTGAAGTTTGTTATAAAAATACTCCAGTTTAAGATTCAAGGTGACGATACACCCATCAAAATAAGTTACTAGTTACATTTTACATTATCATAGATTCTCTGAGTTAACAGAGTTTTTGTCTGTTTTTTTTCATAATACAGTTGCTCCAAAGATTATTAAGTTACCAAGATACACCAAAGCAGCTGGAGAACAAGGTTCCAAAGTATGGCTAACTTGTTTCATTCGTACGGAACCAGTTCCACAGGTTGCATGGCTTAAAGATGCAAAAGTTATACCAATGGAATCAATAACTTCATCTAGGGATCCAAATATAAAAAATATTGTAAAGAAATATGAAAATGTCTTGACACATATACGTCCTGGATTATACAAGGCTCAGTTGGCTATTAATGATATTCGGAAAAATGACTTTGGTTCTTACACTTGTCAGGTATGTTTAGTTGATTCAGCTATGTATGTGTTATATATTGTGATCTAACTCTGCATAATTACATGTTTCTATGTAAATAGCTGACTGCCTAAAATATGGAGTATTGGATTCCTAAACACTGGTTCAATGGTAAAGTCCGAGCCGCAAACCCTGAAGGTGCTGAGCACGATCCCTGGCAGGGTCATAGATGCGCTCTACTGAGTCTCACTAGAGGATGAAACAGCTTGTCAATGCTCACAGGTTTTTACCGGTTCTTTAACTGATGTCAGTCCATGATGAATTTATTATTATCATTTTTCCCTTAGGTTCCGAGTGGGAAATACCGCTTCAGTAGCACGTCTCCAGTGCACCCTGTTCTCTGCAAAAGTTTGAACCTAGCTCTTAGAAAGCCCAGAAGCCTTCGTTTTTTCTCCACATGATCTCCTCCATGTCACCCTCAGCTAAAACACCCAAATCGTCGTTTAACATCTGGGTTCCACTCGACGGCCTGGACTGGTGCGTGATATCCCCAGTCGGCCTCTTCAGTGTATGCTCAATCCATCTCCACATCCTTCCAGTGCATATTTGTTGAGTGATAGCTTCTTGCTACTTCGGTTGGTCACCAGTAAGCCGGAGTGAGTTCCTTGTTCCTGATTCTTTCTGATTATCCATCTGATCTTCAGTAACGAGTCAGCGTAGATGGCAGTTGTTGATGAGTGTCTGTAGTTTGTTGGAAATAACTTTCGTGACGTGACAAGTCTCTGAAACAACACATAGCAGCACTGACTTGACTGAATTGGTGTTGAAAATTCGGATGTTGTTCACACTTTGTGTTGAGTGCAGAAGATCTCCATACTGATTTTAGATTAGTGAAAGCCTGTCTTGTTGTCTTTCCGATCCTGGCTGTCTTTGACGTCCTCGTATGTGGCAGTGCCTCATGTAGTTGAGAGGGTGCTGCCTGCCTAGATAGTTGAAAGAGATTAATTCTTATAAGTTTTTCTCGCTGATGATGATTGGAGCTTGGTGTTGTTGGTGGTGGTGGTTGTGGTGTTGTTTGGGTATGTTCATCACCTCTGTCTTCTCTACCTTCATCTGAAGGAAGTCCTGTCTTCTCTACCCTGCAGTGCCCTGCCTCTCCTGTCAACTTGTTAGTTTTTCTTGAGTAGATCTTCAAGTTTGTGTGACATTAAACACAAGTCATTGGTGAAATTCGAATCTTCTAGGATGTTTTCTCCGGCCCACCCAGTATATCCCCCTCTTCTCACAGCTCCTCACTGTTTGTTGCATGATCCAATCCAAAACAATCATGAAGATCATGGGTGGTATTAAGCAGCCTTGTCTTATTCCTTTTCTCACTTCAAAGGAGTCACTTAGCTTTCCATTGTGGATCACTTGGTATGTGGTGGCTTCATATAGTTGTTGAATGAGGTTGATAAAGATTTGTCGCACTAAAACCGTAGTATTGAAGCAGCTGTCAAATTACTTGTTGGTCGACGTTGTCGAATGCCTCTTCAAAGTGGATGAAGTTGAGGTGAGGTAGAGAGTTGACTGCCTTTCTATGCTCTGTTCTATGATGATGCGTAGCGTTGACATTTGATCCGCATATGACTTGAACTTTCTGAATCCAGCGCATCGTTTGGTCTCTCCAAGATGATGTGGCTTAATATTTTGCTTGGGATGGACAGCAACATGATTCCGCACCAGTCCATGATGAACATTAACGTAAAATTACTCATCGGCTCACAGTATACTATGTAATTATATCTCCTTCGCTTTCTGTTTATTTTGAGTTTACTTCTTCATAACACCTTTTTCGACTTATGTTTGTCACATATGGAATGTAAATGATAAGTATCCCAACTGTTTGAATTTCTTGCGAATAAGTAAAGATTTACAGCTTCTACAAAATGAAACAGAATAGAACGCAGTTACTTCCTTTTGATGACATTTTGTAGGGTTAGAATACTAAACACTGAGAATGAAATGAATTCATTTCATGAGTCATCTACAAATCTGTTAACTTGAAAGTTTAATCGTAATTTACAAACGGATTCATTATAAGCACCGTAAAAAATCCATAGAAATTGATAATATAATTAGTAATAGTCAAGTCTTCATTTACTGAGTCTTAGTGGTAACCCCAACACTCACTAGGATGCAAGTACACCGAGTTGATTAGTCCAAACTTAGATGCGTTCTAGATACAACTGTTAGCCACCAATGACTAGACTATATAAAGTTTATCCATATCTATATAACTTATTTTTACATAAAAACAAGAAAACAGTCAATATAAGCTTTAACATAAGCAAACTTAAGCTGAGCACACAAGTCATTCAATAAAATATGTTGGTATACAAAAAATGAAATTGATTGTGGTAAAAGCTTGTGAAAAAGATGATCAAGACAGCACTAATAAGGTTAGTAAGAAGTAGAGCTCAGTGTAGTAGGAAATACTGTTCAGGGATGGGCAAAATAATGATAATACTGAATCCCTTGTAAAATTGCAATCAAATAATGAAACCAGTGCTTTTTAAATGATCTAGACTGGACGAAATGAGTTCATTTCATTCCATAATTCAGTTTGGAGGGGTTTGTGTGGATTTATTTGTTCACTTCAGGTTGGTATTCTCTATGAACTGATATGAGTTGTAGAAACACTGGAAACCCGGTAGCAATGGAAAGTTGTTTCATCCCAGTATGAGACTTCTGAGTAGTTCACAGCCATGACCCCTGTAGGGGTCGAACCCAGAACTCTCAGGTTCTGAAGCCAATAACTTACCACTGACCCAGTGGTTAGGAATCCATTAGTCCATATTTCCTACTTTTATCAGTTCATAATAAAGCACGATCTCCACCCAATGCCGTCGCTGAGTAGTAACTGTTTTCATTTCCAACCTGGCTGACCTCACGGGTCACGACTTCTTACTGGAACTTGATGACTAGCTTGAAAAGGTGATTTTTGAAGTTTGAATGAAGATAGTAACTCGACGATAGCAGTAGATGGAGGTGGTACTATATCGTGAACTGGCAGAAGTTGAATATATGGACCACAGTAAATAATTTTTGCTCTGTGTATTTATATCGACTTAAGATACAAGGTCACTTTTTCCATAAGCATATATTTACATTTGTGAAAATATAGAATGGCTGGATTTCATTGTTATTATCTTTAACTTTCAAATTTACAAACTAACAATTTTTCAGCTTATTAAAAGACAGTCTACATTACGTACTGTTCAATAATCACAGTCAGAAAATTTGCGTACTTGGAGATTTTGGACAACACCGTATTCTTCTTGGCTCTCCAGGATTTGTGATATCGTATAGATTATATATGTCTGGACTACATGAAGAAACACATGATCTGACGAAATCATAGCACCGACTAAACCGATTACGTTGAATTCTCTGAATTACGTTTATTGGTAACTGGAGGGTAACCAATTCCCTGTCGTCTTATCTTGAATGTTAAACAAATTCTATCGATGATTTTACGATATGTTCACCGAGCTAGGACGCCTGTCATCACAATGCAATTTGATGGGTGTTACTTGGTTGGAGGTGGTTAGCGGGAAGTACAGGAACACAGTTTCATGCGTGTCAGCAAGGTGTTTCAGTGACCCGGATGGAAATGTTTTCCTCAAAAATATATAAATCCATATCAATCAGTTTTTGTAGAGAATGACATTATCACCGGGCTACTAAGGCTATTCGGACAAAATTGCAAACTGTAGTACTAGACAGTGAAATCAGTTCAGCCAAGGCTGCAGATACGTCATGCTAGTTGTTTCCAATGAGAACGTAAGCTAGGTCAAAGGCTTTCTGTACACTGCTTCCAAACAACTAAGTAGGAGTAAAACAAGGCCGTCTACTATCAAACATGAACTTCCTGATTGTGTTGGATTGGATCATGCAACAAACAGTGAGGAGCTGTGAGAAGAGGGGGATATGCTGGGTGGGCCGGAGAAAACATCCTAGAAGATTCGAATTTCACCAATGACTTGTGTTTAATGTCATACAAACTCGAAGATCTACAGGTGAAAACTAATCAGTTGACAGGAGAAGCAGGGCATGGCAGGGTGATGAAGACGGGAATTCCTTCAGATGAAGGTAGAGAAGACAGAGGTGATGAAGATACCAAGCCAACACCACCACCACCAAAAACAACAACAGCAAGCTCCAATCATCATCAACAGGAGAAAATTAAAGGAAGCAGTCTCTTTCATCTATCTAGGCAGGTAGCACTCTTTCAACTACAGGAGGTACAGGTACAGATGAGGACGTCAAAGACAGCCAGGATCGGAAAGACATCAAGACAGGCGTTCATTAGTTTGAAATCGGTGTGGAGATCTTCTGCAGTCAGCATAAAGTGTGAACAACATCCGGATTTTCAACACCAATTCAGTGAAGTTAGTGCTTCTATATGGTTGATAGACTTGTCGCGTTACGAAAGTTATTTCCAACAAATTACAGACATTAGTCAACCTGGATGGGAAACGAGGAGTTGGGCGTTCAAGGTGAGGGTGCTATGGAGCAGATCGTGTGAGGAAGAAATGAGAGCTTGTGTGCAGTCGTAGTGACAGGTTCATACATTTGCAGAGAACAGGGTGCACTGAAGAATTGTTACTGATGCCGTATGTTCCTTTAGGAACCCAAGGGATATATATATATATAAACACCTAAGTCCCCGGTTTTACTACACTATTCAGGAAATATCGATTGATTTTCAAGTTAATCTTTCCATATACCATGTATTTACCTCAGCTTTTGTTATTTGTACTTTCTCTTTTAGGCTGCCAATTTACAAGGTGAAGCTCAGTTAAGAATTAATTTATCTGGGACATCTACTCCAGATGTACCATTAAATTTCCGTCTACTAAATTCAACATCTACAACTTTACATGTCGCTTGGACTCAAGGTTTCGATGGTGGTTCAGCGCAAACATTTCAGGTATGAAATTTCTTACTAAATCATTGTTTTCTCATATTGATGCATTTTGTTGTGTAATTGTAGTATAATCAAACCTTAAACATAAATCAGTTAATTATTAGCATATAGATAATAGATGATATATGCATAGCTGAAATCCTGTATATTAGCTTTCATAAAATGAAGATATGATTAATTACATAGTTACATTGGATAGCGATGAATTAAGTAACACAAAAAAGTGACATTTTTTCCAGAACACGGATGATTAATAAACTCAGTTTATTATCCAAAAATGTTTCCTCTTTTGTGAAGGTTACAAAAAGTAAAAAGCAGACTCTATAATATTTCAAGTTGTTATTCGTCGAAGACTGACATCAGTTGGAGGAACAAAGGAAACCTGGGAGCACTGGACAGCCGTTTCGTCCTAGTGTGGGACTCCTTAGCAGTGCGCACCCGCGACCTTCAGGTTCCGCGGCCAGCGCGTTACCATTGAGCCACTGGGTCAGAATCCAGTGCTCCATATTTCTAACTTCTGTTAGCCCTCAAGACTGTACAATAGCTAGTTTACACTTTAATAAACTTTACAACTTTTAAATATTGACCCACTGATGTTAAGTTGTGCTATCTATAAAAATAAAAGGTTAAACTATGGAGGTCCAAAATCATTTTTACAGTCCGTTTCCATGTTTTCTTTACTTCACTGAAAATATGTGATATCTGGTTTATCAATTTTCTTATAAGGTTATTGTAAAGCTTGTATGATAAATAATTTGGTATGCAAGTTAGACAGATCGTATAATACAGGTTGAGAACTACGCACAAACAAACTTGAGCAGTTTTAGTTGGATGAGGACAATCGTGCTTTTGGTCATCAGTCAACAAGATGAATATAAAATCTGTATGGAATAGAATCTCTTGTCTAAAACTCGAACCCTCGTTAATCGGTGTTACAGTCAGTAACTTTACCGCTGGGCTACCTGGATTACGACTGACTTTATGTAAGACTATATTAGGTGCACTGATTGGTCACTAAAGGATAATCCAGTCCTGCGTGTTGATAGAATCTCATCAATCCTTTTGCTATATTACCGGACACCAAGCTAAGCAACTCAGTATCGCAATGTATATTGACAAATGTTTGTTAGATAAAGACAAAATGGCAGGAAGTTGTGGATTTGGATTTCATTCTTTTTGGCACTCGTCAGTAAGGTATATCTCCAATCTCTATGGCACTGTTATCACTGATTTGTATTCCTTCCGCTATATTACTATTGAATGCATCTCCAAGAATAATCATTTAACCGAATACAAACAAACTTATTAATACAGTATCTTACACAAAAACAAGACATATATTCAATATTCTAAGAGTTTTAATTATCAAGTTAAAAAAATCACAAAGATATGAAACAAAATGCACAATGTACAATGTCGCGGGTTCGATCCCTGACGGGTTCGTGGGTACGCACTGCTGAAGAGTCCCATACTAGGATGAAACAGCTGTCCAGTGCTCCCAGGTTTCCTTTATTCCTCCAACTGATGTCAGTTTACAATAAATAACAACTTGAAACAATTTTATTTGTTTTTCATTTATAATATTCGCAGAAGAATAAATAAAGTTTTACTTTGTTCAATTGAATTAATCAAATTAATGAATATACTGATTGAAAACTGTGTTGCTGTTGTTGTTTTGGTGTTTATTTCTATCGGATAATCTAGTCACAATTGAATTGATAACTTTTAAGCAGTGAATCAAATATCTCTCCTTGAACAGATTATATATATATATATATATATATATATATATATATATATATATATATATATATAAACCAATACATTTCATTCTCCCTGGAATCTACTCTTCATTTATTACATGAAGAAAATAGATCTCATCTCAGTGGTCATTTTTAATCTGTTAATTGTAACTCTTTTTTCTCTCATTAGAATTATATGTCAGTCATCTCATTGATAAATAAGCAATTTTGTATATACTCTAGTATTTCCTTATTAATGAGATGAAAGTTTCAGAATAAATATTCAATCATAGATTACTTGAAGTAAAGATATGTGAAGAAAAGTGTTCATCTATATTCTATGTGATTAATTTCAAAAGTTGGCATCATATTTCTCTGAGTGAACATATAATTCTGTACTGAGAAATATTTACTTATTAAGGAAGTTTACGCAAATCTAGAAACAGGTTATAATATACTCGACTATTTAGACTAGTAAATGTATAAATTATTTTGGCTAATATATACAGTTGCATATTAGTAGTTTTCTAAGATGAAATTTTAACTGGTATATGATTCAATGTCATTTTAGACATTATTTTCAGTGCATCATAATGACATGTAGCTTATAGAATAACTCAAACTGAACATACACCTTGAGTTATAAACATTCTGCGCAATTTCTCTACACCTATCCCACTGAAGAATAACAATCAGTTTTAAGTAAATGATAAATTCTTTTTGCATAGTTCCATTCTGGTTCACAGCTATATCAATAAATTTCAGTTTTGAAATAATGTAGAATATTTGTTTCTCAGGTGGATGGTCTTGGTTGTATTGTGTTCTCTGAACTGGGTTGTTTAATCGTGAAGCTTTCATTGTGTCTCTAGACAACATGATCAGCACTAACTTCAGTATGAAGGGAACTGTCAATATCTCTCCATGAGTGATTTAGTGGGTTGCTCTAACGATATGGTGTGTGATTGGTTGTTTCCTTCAATTGTTGTGTCATTGATTGTATAGACTTCCCTGTTGGCTGTTCCTCTGCCGCTTATCATTTTCATGTCCATGGACATGAATTCAATTTCATAGTGTAGAAATTTTAAACAGAGGAAACACAAAGTATATCAGAAAACTCCTGAAAGCATGGCATACAGGTCAGTCAGCAACCAACAGATGTATAGACAGAAACCCAATCTATCAACCAATAAGAAAGATGATGAATGACAGAAAGGTCAGAGGTCAAACAGAGGAAAGTCTATGCAGTCAGCCAATGACATAACAATTGAAGGAAACAACCAATTATAAACCACATCGTTAGAGCAACCCACTAAATCACTCACGGAGAGATATTGACAGTTCACTTCATACTGGAGTTAGTGCTGATGATGTCGTCTGTAGAGACGATGAAAGCTTCACGATTAACCAACCCAGTTCAGAGAAAACAATACAACCAAGAAATTTCAGTTTTATTTATGAAGTTTTGTTAGTTACAGTGTACTTCTTCACAGTACAAATAAAACACTATGTGCCACTATAAAAGTATAGATTTTTGAGCAAATGAGATTTTTGTTATTTAAGAAAAGCCTAGTTTTTATTGCACTGTTAAACAGTTTTAGCACAAAATTCTGTTATTTGACCAACCATACACAACAACAAAAAAAATTTAATGTCAAATGTAAAAGATGTAACGTACAGTTAAGCTAAATTTCTGAAAAACATTAGGGTAGTCAATAAAAACATTTTTTTTACCTACTTTTTATTTCACCAGGAAATGTATCAAGGAATAGGATTTTTTTTATAAAAATCATGGAATACGCAGTACTGATGCATTGGTTTTTTAAAGATATATATCAATGCTTTTTAAGAAATTACTAAAAACATTCCACTTCAAGGTGGTGAATATGTTAAATAGTATTAACATGATTCTCACTGCTCCTTAGTTATCCGACTTGATTGAATATTAATGGTATAAATCTTGAGGGATGTTAATGGATTAAGTAAAATCTATAAACGTATCACCTTGTAGACACCATAAACAGATACATTTCTGTTATCTACACCATTCAGTAAAATTATATCTCAGGGAAATAGTTTAATTACATATTTCTTATTTCATTTGTACTTACTAATGATACATGAGATGGTGGACTGGATCATACAGCAAAGAATGAGGAGCAAGAAGAGGAGCATTCGCTGAGCCGATGAAAAACCCTAGAAGAAGGTTTGTCTTTCACTCATGATGATGATTTATGTCAAATGTCATACAGACTCGAAGATCAAGGGCGGAAACAAACAAGTTGATAGAAGAGGAAGCGAAGACGGGACTTCCTTCAGGTGAACGTAGAGAAGAAGGATAGGATGAAGATAAGCAACCAACTAACACCACCAACAACAACGACAAGCTCCAATTACCATCAAACGGAGAAACCTAAAGAAAGTAATCTCTTTCACCTACCTAGGCAGCATCATTTCAACTACAGGTAGCAGGAGGTATAAGGACATCAAAATCAGGATCGGAAAAAACACCAAGACAGACATTCCTTCATCAATCCGAAATCAGTGTGCAAATCTAATACACTCAGAATAAAGCGTGAACAACATTCGGATTTTCAACACCAATTCAGTCAAGTCACTGCTGCCATGTGATGGTTCAGAAACTCGGCGCGTCACGAAAGGCATTTCCAACAAACTATAGAAATTCATCAACAGCTACTGCATACGCCCACACTCACTCGATACTGAAGATCAGATCAGGTGACCAGAAAGAATAGACAACAAGGAACTCTGGGAACGAATCAACGTATGAAGAACCTATCAGCCAACAAGTGTGCAGAAGACGAGAGTGGAGATGGATTGTATCTGACATACACTGAGAAGACCATTTGGAGACATCACGCGGTAGGCCACACCGTTGAGTTGAATCCGAATGGGAAACGACGAGTTGGGTGTGGCTGGTGAGGATGACATGGAGTAGATGGTGTTAGGAAGAAATGAGAGGTTGTTGGCATTTGTGGCGTCAGGTTGAAAAGACTGCAGAGAAGCGGGTACAAATGAGGCGTGCTACTGAAACCTATTTGTTTCACTTGGAACCCAAGGGAAAAATAATAATAAATGATAATAATAATAATGATACATAAGATAGATTTACTAGAGTGTCTTACTTTAAGAAGCAGACAGAATGAAATAACTGCACAACCTGAGTTTCCTCCAAGTCATAACAAATTCTGAAGCATGCGGAATTACAAGTATTAAAGAAATCAGTAACACTGTAGTCATTACAAACAATTAACCAATTGTATTTTTTATGATATGCATCTCTTTGTGTATAGATTCGTTGGCGTGAATTAGGTTCGGTCAGTTTGTATAAATATGCAGATGTTGCACCAAATGACAATCGAAACGGTGTTGAGTACTTCATCACAGGTATGTCAAAATTAAAGTGTTTATCTTTCTTTTAATTCTCGCTTCAATTATTATCTACATCATTAAAATTACTAATTACATTCTATACTGAAATTCACTGAAAAGAACACTGCCATGATGCGTCTCTTAACCATGTGGTCACGTTGAAGAACTGATCGGTAGAATTCGGTCAAAAGTTAAGATTAGATTAGATGAAATAGTTTGCTCTGAAATAGCCAATTGGTGCATATAATCTATTCCTACCGAACGTCAGTTGTGGCCTGAAAAGTTTGCTGTTAACTCCTTTGATTACAGCACTGAATGGTGAAGGTTCGGCTTTCTGACGGGACATGAGTTTCCTTGAGTTTACAAACCCGCTGGCTAGTGTCAACAATTATGAAACTTTGACACATGGTTTCCTTCTTGTTTCTTCGGTGGTCTCCCTTCGATGTGGGATTATCATCATGTTTATCCAGTTCTTCGAAGGAAGTTTAGTCGATCCTTAATTGCGTTAAAAAAAAATTCTTCTTACGAAATCTTTAGAGCACTTGTCTACTACCAGTGTACACCAAAATGGTTTTAATTTTTTCTACTCATCCTATTTCTTTGTAAGAAAGCGGTTAGCCCAACTGATCAGATTCCGTAGGTTTGTTACTTTGCTGCCCAAATGATGTACAGACTGATAATCTAGGTATCTGTTGAAATGTGCTGTTCTTCTAAAAATCCTAATTTTTAGTTTATTGTTATGCTCTTTCCACCGTACTATTACTTTCACCAAGAAATTTGCATCCAACTTAACGAAATTAGCCCATAGGTAAATCCTGATAGTTTGAACAAACGAAATGGAGTACAAGTGGCTACCACTTGGCAACTACTAATTCATAAGCAAAAAGAGCGACTTGCATTTACTTCAACATCAATCTCAACTTTATTATCTCTGCACCAGCAACAACACAGTCTGCATTCACTTGATTCATTATTATGGTCACTTCCATCGTAACCATCGTTCATCTTCAGTTTATTCCAATAAACCAATGTGATATTTGGTAATAGCATTCATCTTCAAATGTCCAGTTGTACTTATAAAACCATCGTGTGACTACTGTCACCTTTCTTGTCTAGTATTTACAATCAAGGAGAATATGAATAGTAACGCACACTCACAATACTCGGTAGAAAGTGACATACAATTTCATACTGAATAATTAGGAGTTATATTCGAGAAAGACAAAGACTATATATGAAGGGGATTGGACAAAGATTCATTTATATATCCTTGAAGTGAAGACAGGAGTGAAACAAGGTTGCCTACTATCCCCATGATATTCCTGATTTTGGTGGACTGGATCATGCAGCAAACAGTAGGCAGCGAGAAGAGGGGGATACGCTGGCTGGACTGCGGAAAAGAACCTAGACGACTTGGATTTCGCCGATGACTTGTGCCTGATGTCACATAAACTTGAAGATCTGCAGGCAAAAACTAACAAGTTGACAGAAGAGGTGAGGCAGCGAAGACGGGACTTCAAGTGAATATACAGAAGACAGAGGTGATGAAGATACCGCACCACCAACAACAACAACACCAACAAACTCCAGCCACCGTCAACGGGAGAAACTTAACGGAAGTAACCTTTTTCACTATCTAGGAAGCACTGTTTCAACTACAGGTGGCACAGGCACAGACAAGTATGTCAAAGTCAGAATCGGAAAAGCAAGACACGCGTTCATTAGCCTGAAACCAGTGTGGAGATCTTCTGCACTCAGCATGTGAAACAAGATTCAGATTTTCAACACCAACCCAGTCAAGTCAGTGCTTCTGTATGGCTCAGAGACTTGGCGCGTCACGAAAGGGATTTCCAATAAACTACAGACATTCATCAACAACTGCTTACGCTCGCTACTGAAGATCAGTGGAGATGGCCAGAAAGAATAAGCAACAAGGAGCTCTGGGAACGAACCAACCAAGAACCTATCACCCAACAAATATGCAGGAGCAAGTGGAGATGGGTTGGGCATACACTGAGAAGGCCGACTGAGGACATCACGCGTCAGGCCAGTTGCTCGAGTGGAATCCCCATGGGAAGCGACGAGTTGGACGTCCGAGGGTGACATGGAGGAGGTCGTGCGAGGAGGAAATGAGAGCTTGTGGGCTGTCGTGGAACCAAGTTCAAAAGATCTCAGAGAACAGAGGTCACTGGAGACGTGCTACTGAAGCCCTATGTTCCACTAGGAACCCAAGGGACTAATAATAATAATATACTTCCCTTAACAAGGTCTGAAATGTTGGGATTATTTCATTTCAAACATACTGACTTACACAAATACAAACTATATCTAATGTCAACCTTTTACTCAGAGTCCATTATTTGTGATACTATTCAGTTAAATATTGAGCTTAGTTCACACAGTAGAATTGTCACTAGTTTATTTGTGCTTACAAGTATACGTTCACAAAGATTCTATTCATTATGAAAAACATTTCATACTGAGTTTTCTGTCAATTATTTCAGCCAGTAGTTACGATAGTGTTGCTCAATTTAATATGTCCGATGAATATCGCAGTAAAATTCAGTTATACTGCTATTCGAATAAAACAGTGACTTCACCTTAATCAACTGTTTCCAGTATAACTGACTTAAAAATTAGTGAAAATAAGAGGCAAAAAATTAACAGTTTGATAAGAAATATACCTCTGAACAGCATCAGCAGCTAGAAATCATTCAAATCCACCCGCATATTTTGCTGGACATACCAAAGTGATCTAATCACTACACAAACTGTTTCGGTCATCTAAGCCTAGGCTCATTAGTAATCTAACTATAAAGGACTATGTCACATACTTCTATCTTCACAATAGATGAATTTGTTTTACTTTCATGAGTAGATCAGTACAATACAAATCATGTGATCAGTTAACAAATAAGTTTCAAATTGCACTGTCCGATTACTATTTAGCTAGAATCTAGTTAACTAAGTCTGGAAATCAGCAACAGCATATTGGAACTACTCATGTTGTCAAGGTGGGTATTTTGTTAGTTCCTGATACATTGCTGCCACAGATCACACTTTTGATGTTCATTCTGTGGTTTACTATAGAAAAACTAATGCTATTTGTTGTTATATAGTACTGTCTTGGAATGACAGTTGAACTAATTGAATAAGTCTGTCATACAATATTGGAAAGAAAATTTTTTTGTAGTATAAGTCTGATGTAAAAAAGATAAATCGATCTCGAACTTCTATCTTAAACAAATGTTCATTGATATGATAACACATGAAATCAAGGCAATAGTTGGAAAGTCATATAGAAGCATTAAAATGAGTCCAGTAGTAAGAGGAAGCTAACTGAGGAAAGTCGTACAGTTAAATTCTTAACTAATTCGTGCATACTATTTTAGTCTGTTTATTAGAAATATCACACAGTGAAACAGTATCATTTACTGGATAACGTTTCGGACACAATTTATTGTCCATATTCATATCACCGAGTAACTCCACAACTTCGAAACAGACTATATATATTCCTAGTTTTCTCTCCTTCTCTGTGATGATAAGGATAGCAGAATATTCCATATATCTTGGAGAGGTGCAGAATCATTTCGTTTGCATGTGTTTGGTGTTGATTCGATAAACAAAGATTCAGTCGGTTATCAATCTCTCTCTCCCTCCACTCAAACTCGGCTATAGCTCTGCATGCGGTGACACACAATCATACAGTAGGGTGGGATAGGGTGACAGTGTTGAAAACTAAGTTAAAGGGGGGAGGGAGGGAGAGATTGATAACCGACTGAATCTTTGTTTATCGAATCAATACCAAATACATGCAAACGAAATGATTCTGCACCTCTCCAAGATATATAGAATATTCTACTACCCTTGTCATCACAGAGAAGGAGAGAAAACTAGGAATATATATATGTAGTCTGTTTCGAAGTTGTGGAGTTACTCGGTGATATGAATTTGGATAATAAATTGTGTCCGAAACGTTATCCAGTAAATGATACTGTTTCACTGTGTGATATTTCTAATAAACAGACTAAAATGTAATTACAATCAACCACAGTGCCCAAGTTTTACACTTGTATTAATTCGTGCATATCTGCAAACAAAAAGCCATATAGAAGGTTTAAAAGCCATTATACTTTATAAACTACACTAAAAATAATTGGGAATCTCATTTCTTTTATTCAGTAGAACTTACGTAATAAGTTGTTAAGAAGGTGCCTGTTCAAATGAATGGAGACCCTGGATGGATCTACTACAGAATAGGATTAAGTTTAACCTATGAAAAAGTACAAATTTAAGAAAGCACATGAAAGTAGATTTTACCAATCGAAATAAGAAGATAAATGCAATAGCTAATCATTTAAATGAACATTCTATTCAATAAATAAGCCTAAACGTCTTACTTTTACTATGGTTTCAATTTTTCAGGGTATTTTGACCAATGTGAATGGTTCAGTGCTGCTTACCCTTACCTAATCTCAATGTATACTCACTAAGTGAATTGTGTTTGTTACCAAACGTAAGGCAGTCCGCATTCACACTCAACTACGTTATAATGAACCAAGCTTCTATTTACTCCTTATTTCTTGAAATAAGACTATAAATTAGGCACTGTGTTGAACAATAGTTCTGCAAGGCATTTTCAAACTGGCAGGTATATTCAGTAAAGAATGTAAAGGTTCCAGTAGAATTGTATCCATTGTCAAGGTTCACTAGACTAGAGCTTTCAACGGTATGATAGTTATTGTCTTCAGGAAACAGTGAAGGCCTACAGACACAGTTTAATACCAATAATCATTCCAAGGTAGTCATACAACTTTTAACAGTTTACGTGAGAGTTATATCGCTTTTCACTCATGATTTTCATTAATATTATTTGTGATTTAATGGACAAAATTTCGCAGATAAACTCCTCATTCTACCAGAGTACACGAAAGTTTTGAACCCTATAGTGTAACTGTTTGTCTGTCAATTTATAGCAGTGCCTAATATTTTACCCAGATTACTATGTCCTTATGATCTATGACTTTTAAGTCCAAAACTTTGCACATGAGTAGAGTTTGGGCACTACGGTAGAATGAAATTCAATTTTACTTGATTTATTAGATGCATCACACAGTGGAACCGTATTATGTACTGGATTATGCTTCATCTTGATATGACTATGGGCAGTAAACGGTATCCGGAATTTAACGCAAATTTAAGATATGCTGATGAGCAGTAAACTCATCCACTATGTTGCCGTAGACCAGTAGTATTAACAAATCTAATTGATAGTTTAGTTTCAATGTATACTTTGCATTGGAATAAGTCCTTGTACTATACCGTCGTTGACTGGACAGAATTGATCGGTCCCTATTGGTATATGGGCTTCTGTGAGGATGCCTCAAAATCGCCTGTGTTTTAATTATATAAAGTAATGATGGATAGCAACTATAGTAAAACTATACCCGTCGCACAAGAAGTAGCTATCATGGCTCGGTGGAGTAGTGGATAACGTTCTAGTGTTGGAAGCAATCGCTGCCGATTCCTGGTGGGGACAACATAACTCACTGGGAGACAGGAACATCCAGCTGATAAGTCCCAAATAAGAAGAAATGAGCATCCTGGATGCAAATGCCAGCTACTATCCATCATTACTATTCTTTGCACTCTCATGTCAAAACAATAATTTTGTATGATTCTGTTTGATAAAAAAATACCCTGGATTTATTTATTTAAGTTCATAACTATAATCGATCGTCGTTATTAGACTTAGTGAAAACTTCCGGATTTTGTCCTTACTAGTGGTAATGTTGACTGCAGTGTTTCGATAAGTTGAATATGCATGAACAAAGTCATGGTGGCACGCCTGAATTTCGAATATATTATACCATATTCTCTTCTCTCTGTTTGTTTTAATCTCTCAATTATGTCCTCAAAATGCATTATGTACTCTTGAGAATTTTTAAAATGTCCTGAACTAGTACTTCCTTTCAAGTCATATTAAACGGTGATAGACTTGAACAAAAGGAAATACATCACTTTCCTTCCCTTTGAATACCTATCTTGAATAGTATATTCTTTTAATGGCTGAATGAACTACTACCACAAAACACCGTAGACTAGCTAATTCAGGATAAACTGCCTGCTTCATATTATGATCTGTGATGCTATTATTATGAACATCATTTGGATCCAATGATCATTTGCTTTAAAAACGTTTTTGAAGGTGAATTTGTTGAGTTATTACGTGCTGAAAATTTTATATTCTACTGTTTGGAATAAAGCTATTATTATTATTATTATTATTATTATTATTATTATTATTATTATTATTACATGAAACCAGTTTGCAATTTAGTTCTTTTAGCTTGTGTAAAATTCACATTTAACAGTTTTAGACATTTCAGTTCCTTTTATCTGGACACTACCTGTGACAATCATAAAATTTATGTTTCATTTTACATAAATATAATCTTGTTTCTAGGTTTAAAACCTGGAACTGAATATACAGTGAGTGTTAATTCGATGAATACGAAACATGGAGCTAGTGCATACACAGATCCGGTTACCTTGAGAACATTGCCAAGTAAGCGTTTACCTGCGAAAAGTTTAAATCATCTAATTGTATGAGACATCATTATTATTATTTATTTATTCATTATTTTTCCCTTCGGTTCCAAGTGGAACATACCGCTTCACTTGCACGCCTCCATTCCACCCTCTTCTCTCCAGTCTTTTCAACCTGACGCCACAAATGCCAACAACCTCTCATTTCTTCCTAACACCATCTCCTCCATGTAACCCTCACCAGCCACGCCCACTCGTCGTTTCCTATTCGGATTCAACTCAACGGTGTGGCCTACCGCGTGATGTCTCCAAATGGTCTTCTCAGTGTATGTCAGATACAATCCATCTCCACTCTCGTCTTCTGCACACTTGTTGGCTGATAAGTTCTTGATACGTTGATTCGTTCCCAGAATTCCTTGTTGTCTATTCTTTCTGGTCACCTGATCTGATCTTCAGTATCGAGTGAGTGTAGGCGTGTGCAGTAGCTGTTGATGAATTTCTATAGTTTGTTGGAAATGCGTTTCGTGACGCGCCTAGTCTCTGAAACATCACATGGCAGCAGTGACTTGAGTGAATTGGTGTTGAAAATCCGAATGTTGTTCACGCTTTATTCTGAGTGTATTAGATTTGCACACTGATTTCGGATTGATGAAGGAATGCCTGTCTTGCTGTTTTTTCCGATCGTGGCTTTGACATCCTCATGTGTGCCACCACCTGCAGTTGAAAGGATGCTGTCTGCCTAGATAGATAGGTAGGTAGGTGAAGCAGAATAATTTTTTTAGGTTTCTCCCGTTCATGGTGGTTGGGTGTCTTCATTACCTCCGTCTACTCTACATTCACTTGAAGTCCCGTCTTCGATGCCTCTCCTGTCAACTTATTGGTTGTCGCCTGTAGTTCTTCGAGTTGTGCGACATTAGACATAAATCATCATGGGAGAAATCCAAACCTTCTATGGTCCTTTCATCGGTCAGAGAGCGTATGCCTCTCTTTCTGCAAGACCCAGTCGACCAAAATCAGGAAAATCATGGTGATAGTAGGTGGCAGCTTTATCTTGCTCCTGTCTTCACTTGGAAGGCGTCACTGAGGTTTCCACTGTAAATCACTCGGCATGGGGGGTCGTCATATAGCATATAGCTGTTAAATGAGGTTGATGAAGGTTCGTGGTACTAAAACCATAGTGTTGAAGAAGTTTTCGAATTGCTTGTAGGTCGACTCTGCTGAAGGCCTTTTCGAAGTCCATAAGATTGAGGTAGAGTTGACTGCCATTCTATAGTCTATTCTACAATGACACGTATCTTGGCGTTGTGATTTGATTTGCACATGATTTGTTCTTCCTGAAGCCAGCCAGCCTGTCCCGGTAGTAGTTTTGAATCCAGCGCATCTTTTAGTCTTTTCAGGATAATGCGACATAATATTATCATCACCAATTTAAGTAACGACTTCTCTAACAGGGAACAACTTTCGCTTCCCTGCATATTGAAAACCGTAATGTATTTAATAACCGAAACATAATCTTTATAAATAAGTAAACTCTTTATCAGAAAACGCCTACTTTCGTAATTCATCATTATAAGTATTTAAGCGGGAGTTTAAAATATTCAGATCTACTGAAGTCCACTTGCGCAAATAGTGTACCATACATTAAATATTATTACTATTGTTATTATTTATTCCTTGGGTTCCTAATGGAACATACAGCTTCACTTGCACGTCTCCATTCCACTCTCTTCTCTGCAATATTTTCAACCTGCCTCCATGACTGCCTACAAGCTCTCATTTCTTCCTCACACCATCTCCTTCATGTCACACTCACCAGTGACGCACAACTCATCGTTTCCCATTCAAATTCCACTCGACGGTGTGACATGGCGCTTGACGTCCCCGAATGGTCTTCTCAGTGTATGTCAGATACAATCCATCTCCACTTCCTTCCAGTGCATATTTGTTGAGTGACAGGCTGTCGATTGGTTCGTTGCCAGTCAGCAAGCCAGCCGGGGTTCCTTGTTACCTATTCTTTCTGGCCATCTCAGCTTCAGTAACGAGTCAGCGTAGGCAGCAGTTGTTGATGAATGTCAGTAGTTCGTTGGAAATAACTTTCGTGACGTGCCAAGTCTCTCAACCATCACATAGCAGCACTGACTTGACTGAATTGGTGTTGAAAATCCAGATGTTGTTCACACTTTATGCTGAGTGAAGAAGATCTCCACACTGGTTTCAGGCTAATGAACGCCTGCCTGTCTTGCTGTCTTTCCGATCCTGGCTGTTTTTGACGTCCTCGTGTGTGGCAGTGTCTGCTGTAGTTGAGAGGGTGCTGCCTGCCTAGATAGGTGGATGAAAGAGGCTACTTGCTTTAATTTTCTCCTGTTGATGATGATTGGAGCTTGTTGTTGTTTTTGGTGGTGTTGGTGTTGGCTTGGTATCTTCATCACCTCTGTCTTCTCTACGTTCACCTGAAGGAAGTTCCGTCTTTGCTGCCTTGCCTCTCCTGTCAACTCGTTAGTTTTTCTCGTGTATATCTTCAAGTTTCTGTGACATTATACATTAAATAGACCACATATAAACTAATTAATTCTAATGGAGGATTCAGTACACCAATCTAACAGTACTGAATATGAACTTGAGTTCTTTTCCGCGTGGATTGTGGGTCCAAGCTATCTATGACTTCAGTAGTAAAACAAAATAGCTTTACAGAGTTTCTAGGTTGTCAGTGATTCCCTTAACGATGTCGGTTCATGATCAGTATTACCTTGAAATCAGTCAGTTAACCCTCACAATTCTTCAAATGAAATATTAATGTTCTTCATCATTTTCAGATGATAAATTATAATTATTTGTTCTAGAGATGTCTTACCGTTAGATATTTATGTGTTTTTCTTTGTTTATGTTAACCTTGACATTCGCTTCTCTAATAGGTTAGGTTACATTGTATGTTAGCAACATACGGAGTAGTTAACAGGTAATATGGTAAACACATGCTTTCTACAACCTTTTCTCCGTTAATACTTACTTTATAAGCATCTGTCATACCGGACTCATATAGTGTAATTTATATGAACTTAGTGAGGATGTAAAAACCAGGATCTGAAAAAACAGTAAGACAGGCATTCCTTCATCAATCCGAAATCAGTGTGCAAATCTAATGCACTCAGAATAAAGCGTGAACAACATTCGGATTTTCAACATCAATTCACTCAAGTCACTGCTGCCATGTGATGTTCAGAGACTAGGCGCGTCACGAAACGCATTTCCAACAAACTATAGAAATTCATCAACAGCTACTGCATACGCCCACACTCACTCGATACTGAAGATCAGATCAGGTGACCAGAAAGAATAGACAACAAGGAATTCTGGGAACGAATCAACGTATCAAGAACTTATCAGCCAACAAGTGTGCAGAAGACGAGAGTGGAGATGGATTGTATCTGACATACACTGAGAAGACCATTTGGAGACATCACGCGGTAGGCCACACCGTTGAGTTGAATCCGAATGGGAAACGATGAGTTGGGTGTGGCTGGTGAGGGTTACATGGAGGAGATGGTGTTAGGAAGAAATGAGAGGTTGTTGGCATTTGTGGCGTCAGGTTGAAAAGACTGGAGAGAAGAGAGTGGAATGGAGGCGTGCAAGTGAAGCGGTATGTTCCATTAGGATCCCAAGGGAAAATTAATGTGTAGTCACTTTTTTTTTAGCTCTTTGCTTTTATCCACCTTGTTAACTGATAATTGGTCGGTTTGTTTACAATAACATATTTGACTACTAATCTCGCTGACTTTTCCCACCAATTTAGCATCCACATCCATCTTTCGACATTTCCACTTGGTCGACCTGATATTTCCCTCCCCCCCCCCCGTTGTTGACTCTGAATTCTCATATTTATCCGTAATCTATCTGTATTTATCCTGGCATAAGTATTTCTTCATTTTTAATACCTCACTTTCATCAAGTTATGCCAGATCGTTTTACAAATTCTCTTCGTCAGATTTATTCGCTTATTTTTTATGGCATATAAATTTATGAACTGAAAATCTTTAGTAAGTCGTGTTACATGCAGTACGATCTTTTCAAATATAAACACAAGGTGTTTTAATTAGTCCGGTATATTTTTCTTCATTGAGACTATAGTTGTTTACACCATTTGAGGTTACATCGGTACCGAATGTTTCTGATTTCCATTTATAAATAAGATACAATACTAACAATAGTATCTTAGGAAAAGTTCGCCTTCTCTAGTATTTTCCATTTTAACCGTAACAGATTGTGACATTAATTTCATTAAGAGAGAATTGTATCCTTGGTTAATTAGATCTCACTAATCTTTATGTGTTTAAATTGAATAAATATTTTCACTTCTCAATGTAGTGGATGCCTACAGTGGACGTGGACCTTTACCACCATTGTCAAGCTCTGGATATACAGATGATAATGCATTATTAATCATTGTAGCTGCTTGTATTTTTGGATTTATAATTCTACTTGTTAACGCCATCGTCATAATTTTCTTGATTAAACGTCGTCGTCATCATCGAAATACACTGAGAAGACATGGTAAACCTGATCAAGGAGTTACAATGGTGAATGGAGTTGCACTAACTCATCATGATCAATCTGGTACTGATGTAAAAGAACGTCTTCAGTCATCTTTTATAGATCAAAATGATAACTTTATGGATTCAGATATGAGTACAACATGTATTTGTTGCCCTCCTAAAAAGCAAAATCTTATAAGTTCAGGTGAATAAATTTTTAAATAATTCTTTTAACTATAAATACCAATGTATACTACTTACTAAATTTTAAGTAAGATAAGACAATCAGAGTTCAAAAGTCAAATATTCTGTTCACAAGCAGTAAACCTATTCACGCTTTAAAAAACTGTGTGCATATTTTAATGAATAATAACGAAAATATAAGTAAGTGTAACTACTACAACATAACGCCTGAATATATTACGCACAGTCAGTGGAATATACAAGGGCTGATATTGAAAAATGAACAAATTACTACCCATTTAAAGCAAGATTTATGTTTCCAGCCATAAGTATATATCTTAGCGTATATTTTCCTTCTAAGTCCTAAACTATCATCCATTTTAATGCATTTTTATTATGAATGAATCCAAGTTGAAGATAAATGAGTGAATAAGTAAAAATGAAATAAATAGCTTACACCTCCATACCTGATTAATAACAACAGTCGTTCATTTCACCGTACCATCAATTTTTTTTGGTTCAAGGAATTAAAAAGTTTTTGTGTTCTAGTTGTGCTCCAATTGACTTGATGATTTCGTGTACATGGTCAAACGTTGACAAAGACATTTTCATCACTGTGAATCATTGAATCATCAGCTTATCTGAGAAAGTTTTTCTTTTTCTATATAGTTTGAATGAAAAACATTACAGCTGATTTATTTCTAAGCACTTTGTATTATCACTTTGTGTTCAACAACTAGAATATGACGACAGTCCCATTGTCATACCAGTAAAGAATACTGATGTTAGATAGATTCTTTGGAGTGGTCAATAAAAGTAGCACTAAAGTTAATAATATCTCGCAGATAATTTTGTGAAATATTTCAAGTTGTTATTCATCGTAAACTGACATCATTTGGAGGAACAAAAGAAACCTAGGAGCATTGGACAGCTGTCCCGTACACTAGTATAGGACCCTTCAGCAATGCGTACCCACGACCCACACCAACAGGGATCGAACACGCAACCTTAAAGTTCAATGTCCAGCATGTTACCATGGTCTATATTTCCAACTCCTGTTGGCTCATGATATAGTGCAACCGCCACTCAATGTCATCGTTGAGTAACTGTCCTCATGACCACCAGGCTTTGACTCCACCGGTCACGAATTCTCATTGCAACTTCGGGAATACCTCTCGAAGTTAGTCACCAATGAGCACTAGTTCAATTGGATTTTGAGGGAGTTGCGGAGATTCGGAAATATTTCAAGTTGTTATTCATCGTAGACTGACATCATTTGGAAGAACAAAAGAAAACTAGGAGCACTGGACATCTGTTTCTACCTAGTATGGGACTCCTCAGCTGTTCAGTACTCTCAAGTTCCCTTTGTTACTTCAACTGATGTCAGTCTACGATGAATAACATCTTGAAATATTTCCAAATCTCCACAACTCCCTCAAAATTCAATTTTGTAAAGAACAAGATCTCATATCTGCCAACCTCTGTTTGGATATACCAGTTCATCTACGCTTATAGAGCTAGATATATCGGTCATTCTAACTGGATCACGTTCAAAAGGTTTCAAGAGCAGTAGCCTGCTTGATAATAAAGAGGTAACACTCAATCTATAAGAAGTGTGATAAATGTCAACTCTGGTCATTTAATCTCAGCAATCATCTTTTTCCAAATTATTTACAAAGTGAGAAAGTTTGACAAAGTCAGTATGAATCAAAATCTTTAATAAATTTAAACAGAAAATTTAGAGATTAGAAAATGAAAGTGACTTGTACAACACTGGCTCTTTTCATGATTTTAATCTTTAGCGTGGCGAAACATTCTTCCTCTCCCCCTAATTCTTTTATTATCAACTATTTTTTTGTTGTTGTTTGTATACTCATCCTAGTAACAATTCATTCATTAGATATTCTATCATACTACTCAATTCTTTATCCGAACTTCATCTTATATACACTTTATTTCTATGAGATCTTGAGTAATACATGCATATCTGAACAACAGTGTACTTTTAGGTCATGAGAACTTAATTTCACTTGTTACTTTGCCTTTTGATTACTTTTCAACATTCATAGACATTTTGATTATCGTAGGATGAAAATATATTTTGGTTTCATATATAAATCACCTTGCTTGGTACCCCATACCAAACTAACTGTTTCCACATAAAAAAAAACCTTACATTGTAGCCAAATATTGCATATAAATACGATTGTATAGTCTAGTGAATGAAGTGACTGAAAAAAGTCTACTCACTAAACTACTTGTTTTCATTTTCTTGTATGTTCTTATGGGGATTTTTTAACAGTTTTATCGGTTGATTGATTTCAAGTGTTTCAAGAATTTTTACCATAAGACGACTGATAAAAGTTAGGATATAGTTGTGACAAAAAGTCATCATAATTTCCTAATGGCTTTAGCCTACCTTGATGTTTAAATAAAACTTTCATCAGAATTAGTGCGTTGCATAATATGGACAGCAATAATCAGTTACATTAACTAATGAGCACTATAAAATAGTGTATTTTTTAGATGAATAGGGATTTTTAATTTAGAGGTAGTATTCATCATTCACTGACATGAGTTGAGGAGACGCTGAAAGTCTGGGAGTACTAGAGAGCTGTCATGTCCTAGTATGGGACTCCCTGGCAGTACTCAGCTGTCCAATACTCTCAGATTTTTAACGGCTCCCCAACTCATGTCAGTCCATGACGAATGCTACTTCTAAATTAAAAATCCTCATTCATCTCAAAAATGCATTACTCTCTAGTGCTCATTAGTGACTTGCTTCCAGATGGATATCATGAGGCTCTAATGAGAAGCCGTGATTTGTGGGGTCAACCAGTAGGAAGTGAAGCGGATGTTAACTGGGGACCTTAGGTTATAGTCGCGCTATGTCGTGAATCGACAGAAATTGGAAATTATGAACCACTGAAAACCGAACCAGTGGCTGGATAGTTAATGTGTTCACCGTGAAACCGGAAGGTCCTGAGGTCGTTCCATAGTTGGTTCGCGGGTGCGTACTACCTAGGACTCCCATACTAGGACAAAACAGCTGTTCAGTGCTCCCGAATTTTCGATGGTTCTCGCAGTTGGTGTCAGTTCATGATGAATACTACCTCGAATTTACATTGACTATTAAAGTGAATTCAGCAAACGTATAGTTCAACTAAGTGTAAAATGTGTTTTATTTTGTATAGCTATTTTCAGAAACCAAATGATCGTCAAAAACCTGGTTTTAATAACAATAACATTGTTCCTCATAAAAAGTATTCGTTGTACCTTATTGTCTTTGAGCCAAAATTTTAATGAAGGAACACGTAATTAAAAATTTAAATGTTCCCATTGTAATAAATGAGAAATATAATATAACTAAATAAGAAACAATTTAGCGGGAGAAACTGTCTGGATTGCTCATTTCGGCAAATAAAAGTCGAAATGTTTTATCAGTGACTAGTAACCTATCGAAGAAATAAATGTTTAGTGAATAAGCCTGTAACAATAATAAAGTCACCGTGAAAAATAATTTCTTCCATTGTGAAAAATGAAAGATGGAGCTTCAAGATACTTCATCAGATAACAAACCAAATCCCTTGAAATTATTATTTATTTATATTTATTTGTCCCTTGGGTTCCTAATGGAACATACAGCTTCACTTGCATGTCTCCACTGCACTATCTTCCCTGCAATATTTTCAACCTGGCTCCAAGACAGCTCACAACCTCTCATTTCTTCCTCACACCATATCCTTCATGTCACACTCACCAGCGACGCCAACTCGTCGTTTCCCATTTGGATTCCACTCGACGGAGTGGCCTGGCGCTTGACGTTACCGAATGGTCTTCTCAGTGTGTGTCAGATACAATCCATCTCCACTTCCTTCCACTGCATATTTGTTGAGTGATAGGTTGTTGATTGGTTCATCGCCAGTCAGCCAGCCAGCGACAGTTCCTTGTTGCTTATCCTTTCTGGTCATCTGATCTTCAGTAACGAGTCAGCGTAGGTGGCAGTTGTTGATGAATGTCAGCAGTTTGTTGGAAATACTTTTCGTGACGTGCCAAGTCTCTGAACCATACAGGAGCACTGACTTGACTGAACTGGGGTTCGAAAACTCGGATCTTGTTGTTTATGCTGAGTGCAAATCTCAACACGAATCCCTTGAAATAACTTACAGTAGTCATTACAACCTTACACCATTCATTGAAAATGGTATCTATCCTCTTTTCGGTGTTTATAAGCGTTTCATGTAAAACTGGTGATTATGTATTGAATACAGAATTCTGTTTCGTAATATTTTAGGTTATATCAAAGCTGACTCCTATGGCAACTTCTCGCGAACAAACGGATATACAACTCATGATATATGTTCAAACCAATATTCACAGCATATGGGACAAGAAGTTGACCAACCAGGGCATTTAGTGAATCACAATCTTACAAGCAGTATTCCAGACTTCAATCATTTGACTTCTAATCAAATAACATCAGGTTACATGGTTCACCAGATTGCATCTCCAAGTCCGTATTGCAATGCCACACTTAATCATCCGATATCTCGACATGGTTCAACTGATCTGGGAATGGCTTATTCAACTGTAAATCCAGCCAGTCAAATAAGATGTGAACATGGTAGCATGAAGTACACTACTCGCCATGGTCAGCACACCCCAAGACAACCAAATCATTATCGTTACTATGGGGTAAGTACGTTTTCCAAAAACTCAAAAATAATTAAAACGGGAAAAAATTAGTATGAACCAAAACAAACGCTTTACTAAAATGTAATGTAGAGACTCTAGACAAACTTATAACTAAGATTTCATTTGCACTTAAGAATATACCCAGTGAAGTTGTTGTTGATGGTGACTACAGTCAACCTTAAGACGAAAACTAAAGTCATTCAGAAAATTCTAATTAGTATTACTTAACCAGAACATCACAATGGTTTCTCACACTAGACACAGCTGTCAAGGCACAAAAATGCAACATATTAAATAAACCTAAAATTTTTCATTCATCTAGTCTCCTCAATGAGCTTCAACAATGCAATGACAACACAATTTGTAGAATAAAATAATATCCTCCTGTTTCGTAGGATCTCATCAGCTGAACATATCTTGAAAAAATGAGCAAATAGTCACTTTAGCAAACATTACTATGTTTTATATAGAGCGTTTTTGCATAGTGGTTAATGATTTAAAGATCAGAATAACATTACAATTTAGAATACAAAAGAGGTTTAGATAGTAAATTTAGTCAGCCAAAGTGAAGTATGTTCACGGATGAACCAGATAAGATTAAAAATAAGTAGAAGAAGTTGCGCCATCACATGAAAATATCATGTTTAAACTGACAAGTGGGTAAGAGAAAATCAACGCAATAATATCTATATGGTAATAATGAAATGTAGAAGAGGCAGCGAAGACAGGGCTTCCTTCAGGTGAACGTAGAGAAGACAGAGGTGATGAAGATACCCAACCAACACTTCCACCAACCACAACAACAAGAAGCTCCAATCACCATCAAAGGGAGAAAATTAAAGGAAGTAGCCTCTTTCACCCACCCATCTAGGCAGGCAGCACCCATTCAACTACAGGAGACACTGCCACACACGAGGACGTCAAAGACAGCCAGGATCGGAAAGACATCAAGACAGGCAGGCGTTCATTAGCCTGAAACCAGTGTGAAGATCTACTGCACTCAGTATAAAGCGTGAACAACATCCGGATTTTCAACACCAATTCAGTCAAATTATTGCTGCTATGTGATGGTTGAGAGACTTGTCGCGTCACGAAAGTTATTTCCAACGAACTACTGACATTCATCAACAACTGCCACCTACGCTGACTCGTTACTGAAGATTAGATGGCCAGAAAGAATAAGCAACAAGAAACTGTGACTGCCTGGTTAGCTGGCTGGCTGGTTGGCAATGAACCAACGTAGCAAGAAGCTATCACTCAACAAATATGCAGTGGAAGGAAGTGGAGATGGATTGTATCTGACACACACTGAGAAGACCATTCGGGGACATCATGTGTCAGGTCACACCGTCTAGTGGAATCCAAATGGGAAACGACGAGTTGGGTGTCGCTGTTGAGGGTGACATGTAGGAGATGGTGTGAGGAAGAAATGAGAGGTTGTGAGCTGTCTTGAAGTTAGGTTGAAAATATTGCAGGGAAGATAGTGCAGTGGAGACATGCAAGTGAAGCTGTATGTTCCATTAGGAACCCAAGGGACAAACAATAATAATAATAATGAAATTATAGTGAATAATAATGTAGGTAGTTTTCATTGTTAATAACCAGCAATCGACAAACTTCTAGAAAATACACAGGACAGTGCTATAATTCAGTCTATCTTCAAAGAAGTAGTGAAAAACAACCTTATGGTTCTTTTCATTATCGGCTGCCCTTCAACCCCTTTCAGCCCATAAAAAGCCTTCAAAATTTTTTTAAAAATCCATCACTTTGCCTAGTGAATCTACTTAGAAAGCATTGACTGTTTAAAAGAAATGATGAATCGAAGTCAAATATGTTTATAATACAGGATAATAAGTAGTAATAAATAAAACAGAATGCACCGAAAAATAGTTATATAAGATTTTGATGCTACACTACTTATACAGTTTACTCATAAGTAGAACATCTCATACCATGATATATTAAATGCTGACGCATTACGAGTCTTCGTTTCTAAAGAATTATCACTATATCCATCCAGTTGTCAAAATTTTCATGAGATTTCTCACCTAATAACTAAGCAAATACTTCACCATTATTCTCCTTATCTACAAAAGGAGTAATAATACTGTCTGGAATTATGAATATTCAGACCATAGTTGTTACGAATATCATAGATGTACTTGATAGCCCCATCTAGTTTAATCATTGTAGTATAATCACAGCGTGTTCATAAAAGTAAACTATGATTCTTCTGAACGTTTCTTTGTGGAAGCCATAACTTCCAACTTTTATTCAACAATAAAAATATTTTTGAGATCAATGGAGATTTTTCTTAATTTAGAAATAGTATTCATCATTGACTGACATCAGTTGGAGAACCATTGAAAATCTGGGAGCACTGGACAGCTGTTTCGTCCTAGTATGCGACTCCTCAGACCTTGAGTGATAGTCACGCTATGTCATGAATTGACAGAAGTTGTAAATTGTAGACCACTGGAAACCGAACCAGTGGCTAAATGGTTAACGTGTTCACCGTAAAACCTGAAGGTCCTGGGTTCCATCCCTAGCTGGGTTGTGGGTGCGTACTGCTGAGGAGTCCCATACCAGGACGAAATAGCTGTCCAGTGCTCCCAGATTTTCGGCAGTTCCCCAATTGATGTCAGTCCACGATGAATACTACTTCTAAATTAAAAATATGTTATGAAATGAATAGATTATTTTACGTACTGTTTGACTAGATATTTCTGATTTTTTTAAAATAAGTAATTGACTGAAGAAGCTATGGTTTACATCGTGAACGACTTAGAAAAATCTTATTTTGGTTTTCTAAACACTCTAAGATAATATAAAAATTGATTATATAGCGACTTCAGTGTCTATCTGTAGGTCATTGCAAATGCTGCATGAATGAAGTTATGATGTAATATGATTTCATTTTATTAATTTCATATGATATGGCTTTCTATAAAATGTTTCTCAGATAAATATTTTCTTATTCACTGAGCATATTTTTCTTGTTTTTTCTCTCTCCCCTTTCCTCTATGTGTTGTCACATTGTTGTAAAATTCTTGTTGTTCATTCTATCATACTTTTATTAATAAAGACTCTTCAGAATTCAAGCTCACACAGAAAAATAGTTAATAATCAGTCTAATGTCAATGTTAGCATACCACAGTATGCTTTAGTCACTTCTACCGTCAATAATGGTGGTTTGACATCAATAGGTAATAGTGAAGTAGGCTTAACTCTAGTCAACAATTCCCTTCATTTAACATCATGTTCAACAGCTTCTCAACCTATAGTTCCTAATCGGGTAAACATATTAGATGATAGTTCTACTGAAATCCTTTCTACAGGATTAGCTGCATTTACACACATTAAACGAAAGTCTGAATTCAATGATATAAGTGGGAGAAGTAACCTAAACAATGATTACACCAATAAGAATATCTTACAAATGATAAATCACAGATGGTTTCTATAAAAGTAACGTCTTTCGCAGATCAATTTAATCCTAATTCAATGGAGTTAGGTTCAGATTTAACAACTTTTTCATACAACACCCCGTTTGATTGCAATATGCGTGCATCTTGTACACCTATATTTTTATCTCTTGATCCCAGTGCATCTAATTCCCTGTTAATGTCAAATTCTCTAATGAATTGTCCCATAGATAATACTAAAGTTCTTGAGATGAATGGTGAAGTGTCTGTTACACCTCTAATGATCCATTCACCAACCCCCGTACAAACAGATCAGGTCCTTGTTTCAAATTATGTCCCGGTGCAACGTATTTAACCCTCTCCTTTCCCCTTACTTGTATTCTATCCTCACAGTGAAATTCTTCAAGTGTAATGTTGCATGCATAATCATTATGTTGTATCATAAAATTTATTCAGAATTCCCCCAATTATTACTATGTATCGCCTGTTTTCTCTTCATCCTCCAAGACAAAGCCTAGCCTTGGAGGTACACGTTATTTTTGTTCATCACGAGAAGTTATTCAATCAAATGCATCTCGACAGAATATACCTCATTTTGAAAATCAATCCAGTATGAACAATCTCAGTCATGCAATATCAACTGAATTATATAATCGTCAAAATCAGTGTAACTGTGAACAACAGTTTCATCATCCACAACGACAACAACAAAAACAAGAACATTCAATTCCATCTCATAAAACATTACCATATTGTTGTTCTAATAGTTTAAAATCGAGGTCAAGTATGTACAACAGTAAGCAGTCATTTCAGACATCCAATACCCAGAACACTGTTGTCGGTAAGTTTTATTAGGTGTTTTGGAAATGTAAGCTTTAAATGACAACTAAAAATTCACGTAAAACTGCATTGTTAGTTAACGATTCTCTGGGCCCTAAAATTCTTCTAAATACTGATCAGATGACTACCCAATTTTCAGAAGATCACCTACAACTGATCTGCTTTCACGATGAAACCATGTTCACATTTAGTAGGATGTATAAGGTGCACAGTAACGGTAAAAATGGATACTTATCTAAGAAAGTCAGACATTAATAGTCTTCCTCCTTAAAAACTTAATAGTTCAGAGGGAAAATCATGAAGTCATAGAAGTACTTACTGTGTAATATCTCTTTTCCAAAGCTTTTCTAGTATTTTAACCGAATAAAAATGATGCGATAAGTTTCTTCGTATGCTAAAAACTTGTAGACATTCTATATCATCCTTTAAAACTAGTCAACTAGAATTCAAGCCTCTAGTAGTGACAAATTGAACAGCCAATGTTGAACTTGGCACAGTTCAAGTTGCGCAATTCACTACAATATGTAAGGAAGAAGTGAACAGAAAACTGATGACACTGGAAGAGATATTAATGTATAAGAGGAGGGAGGAAGAACAAATTAAGGTTACAGAAACTGCTAAGAATTTCGAAGATGGGAAAACCTGAATACATCTTTACCACTGTGATTCGTTTCATTCTTATCACTAAGAATTCCTAAACTTTGTTAACTATCATCTCCGGAATTCCCACTAGGTAGTCTGCCTGTCGCAGTATAGCTAAGATTATCAACTGGTGTCATGTTTTGTTCCGGTTACCTTAAGCTTTAATATAACCCATTCCTATTTCGGTTAACGTAGCTTGTTGAGATAGACAGTGTCTCGGCATGTGAAATATGGCTCAAGCCAACTCGGTAGCTGAATGTTCACAATCTCACAGGCTAATATACCATCCTAGATTACTACTTTATGTTTCATTCGTGTATTATTTATATTGGTGATTCCATAGCATATAAGCAATGCTATGAAGACATCTGTATTTAAAAACCTGTTTCCCAATCATATCCTCTTCTTGAAATTGATTCATCACTTACTCAGTGATCTATTTTATATTTCTTCCACTTGAATAAATTTCATTATCACCGCCACTAATTTCATCATAAGCAACTTTTTAGTGCATTTATCTGACATTTTACCGATTGCAAATGTGAATGAACAGCTTCATAATGAAGTCCTTGAAAAGAAATATTTCTTTGCTGATAAAAATCTTGTTCCTATACTTTAAAACGGCCGTCTCCTATACTCGCACTATAGGACATGGTAAACTTGTCTTTTGACAAGTAATTACATAATTCGTAAAAGTTACATACGTTTTAAGTTACTAAATGCTAAATGAGCCTTTTTTCTGATCCAAAATTTCTCCAGTAAAAAAAACAGACTGACACAATTGCCCAGGTAAGTGAAGCAGTCAACGCACAGCATGACTGTTAACCTGGAAGTTAATCTAGGTCAGTCGTATAGCATAATCCTACAGTTGATGGATGTAAAGCTCATTCAGAACTTAGGCAACGTTCAGAAGACTTCGTATTTTATAAGCGTCCCCCTCTAACGGGACTATGTTTTCTGAGTAAATCATTTCAACCTTGTGCATTCTAAAAAGTAAATACGTCAACCTTCAGAAGCTAGAGGTACCTACGACCATATTCTTCCATACATCTATAAAAAATGTAAATGAGCGTACTAACTGTGAACCGCCTTATTAGACAGCCCTCGTTGTCGTTGACAACAATCCTCTGAAGCACTTGCACAGCATAGCGAATCCAAGTAGTGAACCTTAGTCGACATAATACACTTCCTCCGTACTCGTCCAACACATTATCAAAATACTTGCCGATTGATCTAGTTGAATACTATTTTCAGTTTAAGAAATATAGGATAAGTAAGGTGCTGGTGAGTATGCGTATGTAACAAAACCTGTCGAAAGATGAACATCTGATCAATACACCATCGTCCAGATCTGACACCTGCCTCATTTTCTGTTGTTCAGTCGCAGTTAAGAGTTGAATGAAAGTGGGTCCATTTGCTTGGATTTGTTGTTAGGCTGCTGAAGCCCAGATGTAAATATTCTGATCTACTCTATAAATTGTTTTGCTTACTTTCCGGTTGCTTGTCCGGACAGGTTACTAGAGTTCCGTCATTCTTTATGATACCTCGATTTACGATCTTATTCATATCAGCTTCATGAAAATGCATAAATAACTACCAAATAAAACCTGAAGCTGATATCTTACTCATTTTTTATACTTTCACCATTCGTAACTGCTCATGGTCATTCGAAAATAATCTATTTCTCTTTTTGGTACTTACCCTACTGACTATGGTCAAACCCTCTAAAATGAGTCTTTATGCACCAATCAGTTCAGATGATGTTGAAGAAATCCACTGACCTTTAGTAACTTTTGGTTGTGGGTCAGTAGGATGATGTTATCATTGGACATGCTCAGGTGTTTACCATCAAAAAGGTAGGAGAGGAAAGCAGCTGACATTTTGTTGGTCTGAAATGCATGAAGTCAGATGGCTCATACAAACTCAGTAATGGGAACACACATATCACAAGTGATAACTTAAACATAGATTTAGTGTTAGTGCTTGTATTACACCGTCGTTGATTGGACCGAATTGATCAGTCTCTGTTAGCATATGGGCTCCTATGTGGATGCCTCGATATTGCCTGTCTTTTAACTATGTTTAGTAATGATGGGCAGTGGCTACCAGTGGAATCCAGGGTGCGCACTTCGTCCTAGATTGTTAACAAGATTCGACCACTAAAGCAAAATGTACAGCACATTATCGAAAGTAATACTTAGGCAATTTTATTTTAGGATACGAATGTTGCATATCATTATATCAGTTGCTAACCTAAGGTTTGATACCTATGTAACTCATATATGAAGTGGTTAGTCTACTTAAGAACTTGATGGTAATCACAATACCCAATTTACTGCTGCTAATACTTGATTTAGCATAAGTCAGTATCGTTTTTATTCAGTCTATATACAACAGGTATGAACAACGATGTGGTAATATTGTAAACGAATTAGACAAATACACTGTTTTCAGATTTCCGAATAAGGTAAAAAAAGCTGTCAGTTTTCAGTCTACAGTGGTTCTTTAACTTATATCAGTCAACCCAATCACCATAAGCCACAGAAATGGATCCAGTGCAGTCATTAATAAGTAGTATGACGTTTCGTAAGAAGTTATTTATCATTTTGCTTAGCCCACTTTAAGCTTACTGTGTTTCTAAGGCTGGTACGGAGATAGCCTAACAGTTGTTTGTAAGCTCAATTTCAGAAACGAGTAAAAAGTACTTGTTGGTGATTGAAGGAAAAATGAAAACAGTGGCCACGATAGTATTCAAAGTAACGGTCTATGGTTACTGACCGAGTGGATCTCGTAGCTGAGTAGATAGAACACCAGGCCGATCACCCATAGACATCTTGTTCGAATCCTGATGCAACCTAGGTTCTCACTTCACCTTCATCCATCATCTAATACAAATAACAATAGTCTGCTAAACCACAAATATTCTCACTAATAAATACAAAGTAATGAAAAAAGATATGTATCAGAACCACAGGCTTAGATTTCTGTCAATCAAAAGGAAAGTAAGAAATAAGCTCCACAGTGCAGTATGTAACAGTAATGTAAACTTCGCAGAGATCCCCTTGAGAAGTAGATGTATTTGACAGAGTGAATAAAGTATTTAGTATAATTGCTTGTATTATACCGTCGTTGACTGGACAGAACTGATCTGTCTCTACTAAAATATAGGCTCCTGTGTGGATCCCTTGATATCGCCTGTGTTTAAATTATATATAGTAATGATGGACAGTGGGTAGCAGTGAAATCCAGGATGCTCATTTCGTCCTATTTGGGACTCGTCAGCTGGATGTTCTGCCCCCTAGTGAGTGTTGTTCCCACCAGGATTCGGACTTGGGAGTGATCGCTTCAAAAGCCAGAGCATTATCCAGTGGGAACATCACTCACTATGAGGCAGGTCCATCCAGCTGACGAGTCCCAAACAGGACGAAATGCCATTATCCATCATTACTATGAATAAAGTATTTGTTTAATTAAATAGTGTAAATGGCAGGAAAAGTATATCCTTTATTTCCTACTTCACTTTGCCCTGGTTGAACATGAAATTGTAAATGGTTTAGTCACAAGTTGAGCGTAACACAATCCAAGAATTTCTCATATAGCTCCATTCAATAAACATACATTTTCTGATGCCAAGATAGGAATGTTTGGTTCTGAAACTGTTCAGAGGTCATTTTGGATAGTAATGTAAGACATAACTTCACAACTTTCTCATAATGCTGTTGTTTCTGTGAGGTTTTATAACACCCTCCTTCATATCAAAATTAAAACAGCAATCTTTGCAACCACATACAAAGAAACCAGTTGTTTACGAAAATTTAATCACTTTTTAAGTCACCAGTGCTTTTGAAGATGAGATGAAGTTAGAGTGAATGTAGATTACAAGTAGAAACCTGGATAAAATTGTGCTATTCGGTTTATTTTTCTCTATCAGACTATTTAATTTGTGCTTCAAACTGGAGATGTTAACAGTAATTGATAAAACATAACTTGAAAGTTTTATTATTGAGTGAATGATGAGTTTAAAACTTCATCATACATTCTTTATTCATTTACTTCAGATACTTTTTCAGAAGAGGATAAAGATTCAGATAGTAGTCGATATGCAGAACAACTAAGACGTATTCAGTACGGTGGAGGTCCTACAGCTCAGGTTTGTTTTGTCTATTATTTTTAAGCTTTCGATCAAATTATATGAATGCATAGTGAATGATTGAAAATAATGTATTTCATGAATTTAATGCGAAATTTAGATGATTCAGCTGACCTATAGTCTTAATATAGGGATGATTAATAGTCGAAAACTGCCCTATGACTAAGTCTAAAGCAGGAATCATAGAGGTGACCAGTGTTTCAGGAACATACTTTTTCGAAATCAATAAAACATCACTAAACAAATGATTATATCACTGAGGAACCAAAACTCTTCAAGTTTTGGATAAAACTTAACAACAGCCACAGTAGCATCTGTCAACTTCAGTCATTACCGTCAGATAATAAATGTGAACTTTCCTGTTACTTACTACATAGCTTTCGCTTTCCACCAGTTCACCAAGGTTCGTATCGTGAAACCTTGCGTAACTATGCTGTTTTAGTGAAATACTGTAACCTAGTAAACTACTAACTTTCTATGACCATCCATTATGCTCTTATTCACTATCATATTCATCGTCACTTACTAACAGTTAGACTTTCGAAAATACAAACTTCATACCAATGACACTTTTCTATTCGAAATTATTATGTATACTACTGCTTAGTAAGAAGTAGTATGATTGATGGACCTCTTTTCTATCCACTACCAATGTTTAACACTTTTTTTCAAAACGAAAGCTTTATGCTTGATGGTACATCTACAGAAGTAAATGATTCACTACTGATTGGAAGGAAAAATGAAAAACTTTCAGTATTCTATTACTATCACAGCTTCCTCGTAGTTATACTACTAGTTTTTTAGAAGAAGTATTCATCATGGAGTGACATCAGTTGGGGGACCATTGAAAATCTGAGAGTACTGGACAACTTTTTCGTCCTAGTGTGGGACTCCTCAGCAGTACGCACCAACGACCCGGCTAGGGATGGAACTCAGGACCTTCAGGTTTTACGGTGAACACGTTAACCATTCAGCCACTGGGTCGGTTTCAGTGATTCAATGCTTCCCCGACTGATGTTAGTCCATGATGAATGCTACTTCTAAATTAAAAATCTCCATTCATCTCAAAAATACATTACTGTATAGTGATCATTAGTGGATATCAGGAAGTTCTAATGAGAATCCGTGACCTGTGGGGTCAACCAGTTAGAAGTGAAGTGGATGCTAACTGAAGACCTTGGGTGACAGTCGCGTTATGTCGTGAATTGACAGAAGTTGGAAATTGTAAACCACTGAAAACCGAAACAGTGGCTGAATGGTTAACGTGTTCACCTTAAAACCTGAAGGTCGTGAGTTCGACCCGTAGCCGGGTCGTTGGTGCGTAGTGCTGAGGAGACCCATACTAGGAGGAAATAGCTGTCCAGTGCTCTCGGACTTTCAATGGTCCCCCAACTGATGTCAGTTCATGATGAATACTACTTGTAAATTAAAAATCCTCATTCATCTCAAAAATGTATTGATTTTTGACATATTTATAGATCGGTTTTTATAAGAATATCGTCTGACTAATAACGTTTTGTTTATTGTTATGAAGAACAGTCGTCTAAATGGATTACTGTTTCCTATCCAATACAAAAACTTTGGCACTTCTACGCATCACTTAGTCTTTACTTCCCATACAGTTCACTACAGAGATTTTCTGATAAAACTGAAGGTAGTAACCAAAACAATAAGTTCTAATATAATCTCAGCTTGCTTAGAAAATTAAAATTATTTTTTACAATGATTGAATCGGTTTCGGTGCTAAAATTCGTCCAGGATATTAGCAACAGCTACAGACTGGACAGTTACAGCTGTATACAATGATTAATATTTTCATTCAGTATTTTACTTCAAACTAAAAGAGATTCATTTGTCTAATAGGAGACTGCTATCATGCTAACCGCTGAAGTGATAGACTGACTTAATGAAAAGTAACCTAAAGTGGAGCATACGGAAGGCTGACAGTAGTTTCATCTGAAGAGATAATTAATCAGCATATACAAGTTCATTCCAGTCAAGTAGATTGCTTCTGTCGAGATTTATTGAAAATGAGCAGGGAAAGTTAGTAAGATTACTTTGCAATCCGTAGTATGGATGGATATGGAAAACCTTAAGATTTGAATAAACTATGCTAATATTTCTCTCATCACACTGAAGTTTACTTGATTAAAAGGATAAACTATATTGTACCACTCTTTTTTTTCAATATACAGCTTCTTTTAGGAAACATCATTATGTCGAATGATCATTCAAGTCCTGATTCAATTTCATCGCCTAATCAAGATGAAAGTCATTTCAGTGAATTTAATTCATGTTTATCAAAGTCAGTCTTAGGGAAAGACAAAAATTCTACATTAAATAACACTGATAGTAACCTGCATATATCCAGTTCGAACAATAATAATACTCCATCTGATTGTACATTGAAAAATGAGAAAATTTTCACATCATATCCAACTCATTTTAATCATGATAATGAACTTGAAATTACTGTTGAAGATTCAATTGTTACGCATAGTGTGAATGATAATAAAACTAATTCAATGCATTTATCTGATTGTTTTGTCTAATTTCTTTTTTCATTTTCTTTGTCTATTCTCACTACTTCATTTGGTCACTTAATTCACTGATTGATATTTCCGGTTTATTAATAGATCGATAAAAAACAACAGGCATTTCTTTTACCTTGAATATAAAACAAACTTTCTTCCTTACTTTTTTCTAAAGCTTATCCAATATTCTGTTGATTGTTACCCAACTAACATTCCTCTCATAATCACATCAATTTATTATTATGTATAATAATAATAATAATAATAATGATAATGATAATAATAATAAAGCGAAGTTTCATAGGTATGGAGCTGAGGCATAAATTTATTACTACACTACACTAGAAGTATGTAAAGTTTACCCACTTTGTAACTATATTTTCACCTAAATAAGAAGTAAAATGTCTTTAATTTATCAATATTACACTTCTAGTAGTCATCTATAAAATTTTATTCAATGGAAAATGGTGAATTTATTCTTTAATTGATGAATACAAGGTGAGAAGTTAAATATTTGCTCATTTCAATCACATACTGTTATTCCTAGTGAGATATATATATATATATATATATATATACATTGGATTGTGAGATTACTGTTTCACACAGACAATAAACTTTTTTTTTCTTCCGGTTATGTTACAGTTTTTACTGTGAAAAATCTTGAGTTTCTCAACATTTGAGTACATATTTTATGATTATACATCAAAATAATTGTTCTAATCATAGATTAATGATTAGGTACTAATCCCTAGTTGTCTAGTTCTCTGTGCTAATAAGTTTTTATCGGTTAGGTCTTCATCATGGTCATCAGATTAGAGAAGTTGTCATCACAGTGAACTATACTGAAATTTCTATATTGTTGCAAGCTGGGTGTGAAACACTTTGTAAACAATATTTTCAAGATATTACTGGACTCAAATAGATTTTCTGTGATTACTTTAAGTCACCAAACGGATCTTCTGTTGTTCAACTTTGAAATAGATTACATAAATAAACTTGTAACAAAAATGAGAACTGTAGATTGTCAGACAATCAAGATTCATTGTTAATTACCATTTTTTTTTCAAAATATATCCACCATACAGTTGTTGTAGTCGTCGTCTCTGACTGGGTCATAGGTGTTCACTGCTCGGAAGTCCTATACTATGACGAAATAGTTGTTCAGTTCTTCCAGGTTTCTAATGTTCCTCCAAATGATATCAGTCCATGATAAATACCATCTTGAAGAAATCACTAAATCCTCAAAAACCCCAAATTCAGTTGATTTGTAGCTCAAAAGCTCTGATTCCTATCTGATTTCATAACTTATAGTTACCTACCATAAAGAATGAGTATCATTATTTGTACAGTTTTAAAAAACAGCAAGTGTAGAGAATTGAATGTCAATTCAAAATCTCGAAACTCCTAAAACAGCATTTTTAGTCATCTAGAAAAATAATTTTATGCTTTGATTTTAGGTGAGGTATCTCACCCTTTATTTATCTGTCTTATCAAATAGGATACGCACATGAATAACATTGGTGTGGTGGTTCGTAGGTTCAGAATGCTGTTTTCTAACAGGTGGGTTACGGGTTCGAAGACCACTAGATGAGTCAAGACTTGAGCAACTAAATAGTACCACTGGCCCTAACGTGATAAGTGCAGTCTATTGTACTTACCATCCATCAAAGTGTACACATTAGTTTTTAGTTCGCTGTGTGATAAATCATAATACAAGGATGTATACTTCTATACTTCAAGCTGCTGTAACGATTAAATGTAGTGTTGTATACTACTATTTACATTTATCAGTTTAAAGTAGTGAACAATAGGTATCCATGTAACCCTTACACTTGTATGATATACAGTAGATTTACTGCTACTGAACTTATGGAATAATGTGCTTTCCGATTTGTAGATATCCATCTGCGTATTTATGTTCAGCGATATGAGGTCTCTTTCCTCTTCCTTATGAAATTTACCAGAAAACTACAATTTGAAAATGAGCCGAATATTGTCCGCAAAAGCTGATATATAATCTGATCTAAATAGTATTCACTGAATGAGTTTCATAACGGTTTCATTTAAGATACTTTTTTACTTATCATTAAATTTGGAATAGCCGCAAACCAATCATGCCTGGATAGTCATCTGATAGTCATTTGACAGGAGAGAAACGTAGTCCAAATATACATAAATTTCTGCTCAACCCGTTCACAAGACCTTGTATTTTGTCAACGTTTTCATCTAACAGGATAGTATAGTCTGCATATTCAACCAGATGACCTCCAGGCAGTAGATCGATCCCCGTGGAGTCAAATGTATATAGGGCTACGTCCATTAGTACGCCTATGATGAAGCTGAATAGGAATGGTGACAGTGAGCATCCCCGGTGAACAACATTAGCTATCGTCAATTCACATGACAGCTCTCCATAAGCCCTGATATGGCTGTATGGTTTCTTGTAGAGAGTTTTGATAGGCATTACCTACTTGAGCTTTACTCCCTTCACAGTCAGACCCTGCCACAACACCTCACTGTAGAGTGAGTCAAGTGCCACCTTCAGGTCAAGAAATATGATAAGTGTCAGCCTCCGGTAGGTATGTATGTGTTCCAGAACCGTTTGGAGGGGAGAAAATCTGATGGATACCCCTTGACCACGTTTAAAACCTGCCTAAATTTCTCGATTTGCTGTTCTCTAGCTTTAGTTAGGTGTCGGATAACCATGGAACCTAGGATGTTGGACATTATTAGTCAAACTAATTCCCAATTAGTTGCCGCAAGATTTGTCTCCCTTCGTATAATGCTTAATGGTCAGAGAAGTAAACAAAACTAACGGCATTACCTCTGTTTCTCTTACACTACCTAGTAACCCCGTCACTTTAATAAGCAATTTCCTACCTCCATCTCTGAAAACTTAAGGTAGCAATCTGTCAAGCCCTAATGCCTTACATCATTTCCTTATGATGAGGATTGCTGTCACGTACAGATAAATGTTCATTTGACTCCTCTCTGAATGCGTACTTCTCATCCTCATCTACCAATCGAGTACATATAGGCCTCACTGCCTCCTGTTTCCTGCTACCAGTAAGGGGCAGACATACACAAACCCATACTAGTGCGTGATCGGAGTCCAAACTGATGCTCTAGAAGGACCAGCAATCCTCCACCTATCTTCTCCAACGATGGCTTATAGTAATGTGGTCTATCTGTGTCTCTTGTTAGTAAGAAGTTGGTGGACGGCATGTAAGATAGCGTCTTTCGTTATGCGTAAAGTTGGTTCTGGTCAGAAACAGGTGATTGTCGACGCAAAGTTGTAACAGAAGGTCACCGTTGTTGGTTCGTTGGCGTGGGATTCTGTAAATACCCCCAATATCCGTTTCCTATCGGCTCAGGTTCCCTACTTGAGCGTTAAAGTCACCTGCCATATAATTCGTCCTTTGCACCACCCTAACTACAGTCGACGGGTGGCTAGATGGAGATTACTAGTAGTCATCGCTTATTCTTACTATCTTTCCTAGACCTTACAGATCCATTCAGCTAAACAGCGTATAGATGGCTGTTGACTGGCATCCAGTCAAGAGGTGCACTTTGTGGTCTATATCTCAATGCTATGCTCTCAGCAGCGAGTCCACGAAAGCAAATCACTGGGTTTCAAGATACCTCTAAGGTGGGTTTTAAAGCTTAACTACACTGACAGGGTGACGTCAATTTAATAACCGCACTCGTGTCCTGTATATATGTCTCAGAGAACAGCTTACATCTATGGCTAGATGTCCCAGGATTCTGGCGAGCGATGCTGGCTTTCAGATATGGCATAGAGTTCGGAGGTTGGAATCTCCTACATTAAATTAATGACAAGCTGGATGTTAGAAGACTAGGGATGAGGTTTCAATGTCTGTGTTCATTAGCAGTGGTTGCAGAGTGAGAGATTGGGTAGGGTCTAAGAGGCTTAATACTAGTAACAGGAGGTGAAGAAACAGAAGGAGATATAGTTAAGGAGCGTAGGCCATGTTTGACTGGGTCTTGTGTACTACCGGGAGCGCGAGAGTGGTGGACACCAACCAGTTGCTCACACCGTGGAACGCTACTTTTTCTTGAGGTACCTGAAAGAGAAAAATATTTGTGTGACTGCAGAACCCATAGGACATTCTCTTGGTGTCTGTCAAGCGCTGTCTTTATGGGGTGTTGTTCTGAGATTTTATTGTTTTAATGCCAGATAGACAGAACCCATATCACCGGCACCGTAAGACAGTGGGGCAAGCGGAGTGTGTTATTTTTGGTACCGATCTTTTCTAACCTCTCACTTCCCATAAGGAAGACGGTATCAGAGTAGCGCTGCCGGTCATTTAAAGGAAACACTTTCCTGCTGTTAAATCTCATCCAGCCAGCAGCAGTAAGACTTTGCCCTAAAACCCCATCATAGTGTAGTAATTAACACTACAACAGTAACTACTTTTCATTTCACCACTATCCAATAGACTATTCTGGCATGGTAGGACCTCAAGAAATAGGCGTCCCACCAGCATAGCTCGCTGGGTCATTGTGATATACATGCCCAACCATCACATCAAGGTAGCAACTAACGTTCGGAACCAAGCAAAGCACGTTGCACGTGCACTCAAACAGACAGGTTAGGTACCTGAGAGTTCGTATTAATTACTGATTGGCTTAGTCATTACCCCTGCTAGATGAATTTCCCTACTTTAAAACCCTAGCACTGAATGGAGAGATGATGAGTATGCTAGTAAGTTGATATCTGCTTTTCAGTGAGAACCACGTGTAAGGGCCACCTTCGTAAAAGTGGACTCGAAATACCATATCCCTTAGAATCATCAGTAAACCAACTCTCTGTCTGATGACGACTGAGTATGCCCCGTCAGTAAGGTTTATTGGCCACCAGCTCACAATACCTGCGTCACTAATTTCACAACGTCTCATTTGGTTGCTTCAGAAGAGGTATAGTCACTCTTCTGACTATATTAAGCTTACCATAGAAAAAGATGATTTATTGTTCAATGTCAAGCCTGAAAGAC